CGGCCCGGGCCTTCCTCGACCTGACTGTAAGGGAGGGGGGTTCAAGGGGGGGTATGTTCCCAAGGTTCCCTCCCTACCCCTCTTGAAGCCCCCCTGTCTTAAGAACCCTATTGAAAGCGCTTTTTATGGGATTTAGTGTCCATGAGTCAAGGGGGCTGGCTCGATGTGTCGAGACCTCCTGGATCTGGTGCAATCCCATCGTACCACGGGATGAGTCAGGATTGCTTGATCTTTCCGTGGCTAGTATTATGACACTGGATGTGTAGCCAGAGCCACGATTCAAGGAATAGTTTTTTATATGGAAAATTTATGTTTTAAATATGATCTTGGGATTTCTTGATTTATGACATTTTTACGATTTGGTTTATGATTCTCTTCGATTTTATGAAAAAAATATAATTTGTTATGAAAAATATGTTTTTCGTCGATTTTATGAAAATTTTATGATTTTTTTATGAAAAATTTATGTTTTTCGTCGATTTTATGAAAATTTAAATATTTTTTCTGAAAATTTTATGTTTTTCATCAATTTCGCATCATTTTCAATGCAGAAACACACAAAACTGACGAAAACCATATTTTTTTCATAAAAAATCATAAAATTTTCATAAAATCGACGAAAAACATAATTTTTTCATAACAAAATTATATTTTTTTCATAAAATCGAAGAGAATCATAAACCAAATCGTAAAAATGTCATAAATCAAGAAATCCCAAAATCATATTTAAAACATCAATTTTCCATATAAAAAATTACTTGGCAACGTGCTCTCTGTGGCTGAATCCGTGGTCATAAGGCTAGTATGTGGTTGTCGTCCTCGGAAGATCAATCCCAAATATGGCATCTCTGAAAAAAACATGCTGCCCATGGTCCAAGAAACAGCGGGTCGGCGCGGAGAGACCAAGTTGCTTTGTTTCAAGACGCCTGCAGGGTCGGGAGTTCGGGGCCTCGACCCTGAAGAAAAAACCCTAATCCTGCATGCCTTCTCTGCCAGTGACGTCGTCAGCGCGCGCACCTGACCGGAGCCAAGACACGAAAACCCCAAACCCTAGGGTTTAGGGTTTAGGGTTTAGGGTTTAGGGTTTAGGGTTTAGGGTTTAGGGTGAGGTCTCAGGACGTTGAGTTGGCGATGTGGCCTTGTTGGGGATGGATGTTACCCACTTATGCCAACAGTCCTCAATAGGGATTATAACTTATAATCGGGGGTACTATAACCCCTACTAAAAACAATCAATATAAGGGGGAACATCCCAAGTTCATGGCAACATGGGGCTTTGGGCTCAGAGAGCCCCCAAGGCTTCAAGGCAAATCCTCTGAACCCCACCTTGCTCATGAGCTGCTCGACGAGGGAACTGTCCACCTGGAGCGATTTTTTCTGATCCAACAAAACCTGATGGGACCCCACCTAGGGAAGGATTATACTATAATTTGCGGTATATACAATGGGTACCCCGAGATCGGGGAATTGCCCATATGGTGTGGGACACGCAGCAATGGCCAATAAACTAGAACAAGCTCGCAAGGAGGCGGCACGGAAACTGCACACACCACACGAAGTCTACTGAGGGCTTAGGGCTTGAGGTTTTTTGCTGCTTAGGGTTCCTAGGATTCGTAGGATTTGGAGCTCTGGGTGTGGACCAGCGTGTTGAGAGCAGGAGCGCCCTCTTTTTCTGGGGTCAGGCCAGTGCAAAATCGGCAGAAAGCCAAACCAGCCGGACAAGATGACGAGATGCAGGCACACCAAACCCGTCTGTAATCCTCAATAAACAGCAACACCATGAAAACCTGGAGTACTGCTGCGTGTTCGCTAGTGTCCCTAAACCCTTACCCTAAACCCTAAACCCTAAACCCTAAACCCTAAACCCTAAACCCCAAACCCTAAACCCCAAACCCCATCATCATGAGGGGGCCCCATGCCTTGGTGGTCTGGAGCTCCTCGTGCAAGGGGGGCCCAGCAGACACAAGTCAGGGAGGGCTTGGGCTGTAGGGGGTTTAGGGTTTAGGGTTTCGGGTTTCAAAAACAAGCTTCTGTTTTGCCGCGTGCAGCTGGACGAAGCCACTCTGCAGGAGCTTCCAGGGTTGCAGAAGGTTTGTAGGGCTCTAGGGCTTCCAGGGATTTAGGGTTCTAGTTCTGTTGGGCTTTGCTATTTCGGGTTTTTGGGCTTTAGAGTTCTGTAGGGTGGATTTGGGGCTGAGGGTTCTGTCATTATGGTTTCTGCTTTTTTCGGGCCCTTCTTTTATAGGGTACCTATCATGGATAGAGCTGACCGTGAAAGAGAAAGGCAACCGTAAACTTTAAACCCCCTAAACCCTAAACCCTAGACCCTAAACCCTGCTTTCCTGGGGATGGGCAGGGCTTCCGGGGTCTGACAAGAACGATTCAGAGGGATGACATGGAAACAGCCTTTGGAAGGCTTCAGTGGTGCCACCCGCCTAGACACTGCAGGGTACCACTTAAGGGTTTGGGCTGGGGCTGAAGGTTTCGGGCCTTAGGTTTTGTTGGGTGCCGGTTTAAGGCCTTCGGGTTGTTAGGGCCACTGTTGTTCTCAGGCTCGACCTCCCAGACATTCATAAACAGTACATTTTCCATTCTGAATCCCGTTGATTATCAAGGGCGGGGGTGGGGGGTGGGGGGACGCAGTCATAGTAAGTAAAGAGCGTATAACATTCGAAGTAGCACCCCCCCCCTCCCCCAATAAACACGACACCCAGGTAAAGCCATCAGAACGACCTTCACCCTTCTACCACACGACAAGAACCTCCAGTTTGAGGGTCTGCGACAGAGCGGCGCGTGACTTTCTTTTCCTTTGTCGATTCCATGTGGGATGAGAATACACTTGAGGCCCAACTTCGGCAATGCAGACTTCAATGGGTTTGGGCGTTTCATCCGCGATTGGGGCTATTCCCTTAGGGGGCCCCTTCTGACTATACTATAACAAGCCCACCGAAAACCCTATTCTAATTACTATAGTTTATAGTTGAGAAGGTTCTCATTTCTGCTTGCCAGGGGCTTTGGTGACGATCGGATTGACTGCATCGTCGCAACTCGTGAGACGAGGATCGACCCCACGAGGATGCTCACGGTGCCGGCAATGAGCCACAGATGAGCTCTCAACGGATTTCACGAGGTCCAACGCGGGTTTCAAATTTCGGTGTGGGAATCCGAAAGTCCTCCCAGGCAAGAAGGACCTGAACCATGTGCCGGCAACTCTGGAAGACTCGAGCAAACTCGCTGCTCTGCTGGATTCCGAACATCTAGTCTTGCCCTAAGCCCTAAACCCCAAACCCCCTGAACCCTAAACCGTTATAAGGGCCCTTAGAGGCGTCGGAGCAAAGAAGCCTGAGTTTCGCTGCCTCTTTTCGGAATCTCAGAGGGGGGATCCATCTTGCCTCATGTGGGCATTTCCCAAAATAGGGGGTACCCCTTTATACCCCAAATAGAATGGCAACCGCTTAAAAAAAACCCTGAAAAAGGGCACCCCTTTTTTCACAAGGGACTCCTAGGGCACCCCTACTTTTGGAAACTTTGCACGTGTGTGAGACGTTTGGAGCGTGTATCGTTGGATTGACGCCGCATCGGCCCGGATAGCTGCTCTCGTCGCCCACCGGATCGCTCCAAGTTCCTCTAACGAACCTCAAACAAGCCCTCCACAGCTTGTTTTAGACCTTCGAGGCTCTATACGACACCATGCATCCTAAATTGTGCAGAAAATCCGGCTGAGAAGTCCCCCACTTTTCACGTGGTTGGCTGGGTTTCAAGGTGTTGGGCTTGATGAGGCGGGTCCCAACAGCGTCTGCCGGTAGAACTCGCGCGGAACTCGCGGGCGTTCGTGCAGCGGCCTTGACTTGCCTTGCACTCGCCGTGCAGAAGCCTGGTCGCCAACAGCACCGAAGGCATCTGGCTCTGCGCAGGTCTGGCCACTAGTCAAGCAAGTGGCCGTGAGGCCTCTTGCCAATACTGAAAGTAGAGAACCAAGGAATTAAAAGGAATCGCCCGATATCCCCCTATATCATCCTTATAGGGCTTGCATGGGGACCTATCATTCCCTAACTCAGTGCCGGCGGACCAGCCTCCTTTGGAGTTGCTCAAGGAGCCCCCCCCCCAAGAAGGTTTAGGGTTTACTTGCAGCAAACTCCAGACAGTTGGAGCATGGCTAAGGGATGATTTCAGCAGGGATTCACCTTTAGTTTAACTTTTGGGGTATGGAGATACTTCAGGGTTTTCCAACCTTTTTTGGAGTTTACTGTTTACTGTTGAGAGTTTTAGTGAAGCAAGGGTCCGATGGCGGAGATTTCCTGGTAAAAAACCGCCTTCCAACGGCTTCTTGCCAGTCAAGGAGGGCGTCGACAACATCCTGCGCCAAGTACCTTGTGACCTCTGCTGGGAGTCTGATTTGGCGTTGCAGGGTGCTTTCGCGCCCACGAGGTGTGGCACAAGGAACACCTGCTCTCCGAAAAAGAAGCTGAGTTGGGTTGGATTCTGCTAGCCTCCAAATCTCAAGACCCTAGCCCTACAGAAACCTTGGACCCTAAACCCGAAACCTTAAAAACCCCGCACTCCAACCCAGATGCATTCTCGAGTATGGTGGTCCGCTTGCCTGAAAATCGAAAGCCCGGGGTTCGGCCACTTAAATGACTTCGAGCCTACATAATCTGCCCCGTGAGGGACCGCAGTTGCAAGGCGTGCTCAAGTCAGCGTCCGCCGCTCTGCGTGGCCCTTCTTTGAAGGGCACCCGCTACAAGCAAAAATCATCCAGCGACATTGCCTCTTGTCAGCAGGAGCTTGTTGACTTGTTGATCGCTAGGATGCCAAGCCCTATCGCCCTGAAACCTCTCCAAACAGAGCCCTTTAGACCTTTAGAGCTCAGAACAGCAAGGCAAGCCCCCCCCCCCCCCCCCCCCCCCCCCCCCCCCCCCAAAAAAAAAAGCCTCCTATTGACAAGCAGCTTCAAGCTTAAGGGTGGTCCTTTCGGGCCTTCTCTGAGCAGAGCCGCCGCCTCACATTGACACAAGGTCTTCTTCGAGCTTGGCAGTAGCATCTCCATCTTCCGTATCTGGCAACTCAAGCGTTACATCTCCGGTATTCAGGGACGATTCTGTCCCCCGAGAGTGCCCCCTCTTGAAGCCAGCGCCTTGTGTCAAATCCGACTCGGTGGGAGATGTGGGGGATGTGGGGGATGCGGGAGAATCGCTTCCCTTGCCGATCCACCGCTTGAGGCACAAGGAACTCAACTTCGAGCCCTTGGACTGCAAGCGAAAGGCGATCTGCTTGGCTCTGAGCTCCAGATCCTCTTGTGTGCTGGAGTAGGACTGGGGGGCAAAGACTGTGGCGATCTCCTTGAAGATGCCCTGGACAACCTCGTTGTAGCTGACGGTGCGCTCATCTTCGTTCTCCCCCCCACTTTCGAAGCCGGTCGGCACCACGAACCCGGGCTCTGCGATGATGGGAATCACGACGCGCTCCATCTCCGCCAGATCCAAGAGCCAGCTCGATAGATGAAAGGAGAGTAGGCAACCTGTGGAGCAAATCAGGAGCGCCTTCCTTGTGCTCCCTGGAATACCCTGGCCTTTCTTCAACACACAGATCAGAGAGCACCGCATATCCTTGTTCACCGAGGATAAGAGCATCTCGTGCAGGATGTACCCTGTGGCCACGGCCTCCAGATTGTCGGGATCCGCGAGAATGATGCAGTCAGGGAAGAGCGGCTCCTCGACGCGCGGCGCGACGGTCCGCGTCAGCGAGTCGCAAAGACGTGCCATCCTCTCCGGGTTCAGTGTTGGAGGCATGGGAATCGTCTCGATCGTGCTGAGCCACGCCAAGGTCTCAGACACATCTTGTAGTGAGATGCCATAGCTGGCTAAGACCTCGATGCCAGGAATCGCGAAAGTCAGGTTCTGCCGGAAGCGCTCGTCAGGTTCCTGAAAGCCTGGCCATCGTAGCATGATGGTGCGCACGCCATGTATCCTGGCGTTGACGACCTCACCCACGCACCATTTCCGTCGCTCGATGCCAGGGGTAGCCAAGAACACCAAGGTGTTGGTGTCTCGCACAAAGGTGAACAACTCCGTGAGGTCACGCAGGTTGTCAGTGTCCATGAAGGTCTTGAATCTCGAGCTTCTCTTCAAGAGCTGGATCTTCAAGAGGCGTGCAAAGGCCCCTGAGGTGCTCTTCTGGTGGGATAGGAAGAAGTGCCATGGCTTCCGGTGCCCCCGTGCCACATGCAGGATGGCCCCATAGGCCACAGCACCAACGACTGCCAGGCCCATCATAAGCAGGAAAAACATGCACATGACTATGGATGTGGCTCTGTCGGCCTCGTTTCCGGCGAAGGTCGAAGCCATGTCCAAAACCACCAACAAGCCCACGTGCAGTATGATGTCCAGGGCATTGCCGGCTGCGAAGCGCCATGGGTGCATGAGAGCAGCCACCACCAAACTCGAGTAGAGAATCATGTTCATCGCGACGATTTGGGCCGCATTCGAAGGCAAGAGCGGGACCAAAGCGATCAGCCCATTTCTCGCGAGATACAACACTGAGTAGAGCTCCGCCCCTGGCCGGAATCGAGACCAAAGGAAGGCGCAGGCCCGGAAGTAAGCCGCGTCAGCACGAAGGAGTCGTCTGGGCAACTCCACCCAGGTCACCCACACACAGAGTGCCAGGAAGGTGATGGGCATCAGGGAAGCGAGGCCCCCGATCACACTCATCCCCAAGTGCTCGCCTTGCACGTTGCAGAAGACCGTGTGGTACTCCCGCACAGTGAAGAGCCTTAGCAGCCCAGTAACCATATTAGAATAAGGGCACCCCTTTTTTTGGTTGGCTACCTGTAACAAGGGAACCCAGGACCAAAACAAAATGGGTAAAGGGTACCACTGGGGCTACCAAGGAGCCCATTCGGGTGCTCGTTGCACTCAAAGGGTGCCAGCATCGCCGTGAAGATGGCGATGAAGAACGCCTTGGCCGCCCAGTAACCGTATACAGGGTTGAGGGTTCAGGGCTTAGGGTATAATAGGGGTTTTTGGGTTTCGGTTTCTGAATAGAAAGGGAACCCCTAAGCAAAAAAGGTGCAGGGTACCACTAAACTACCAAGAAGCCTTGAACAAGGAGCCGATCGTGCGCAGCAGCCGGCTCATGTCCAGGTCGCAGCTGTCCTCCAGGGGGTGCTGTTCGAACGGATGGGTTTAGGGTTTAGGGTTTAGGGTTTAGGGTTTAGGGATGTTCCCCCTGTATGCTAGCAGCCCTGAATACGGATTATAGTACCCCCGACTACAATCCCTACTAAGGACTGATGGTAAAAAGGGGAACATCCCAACAACCCGCGTTTGAACATCATGGTTGTCCACCCGAATATGATTTGAACGGTTTTGCACCGGCTTGCTTTACAGTAAGCTTACTGGGGGGGGGCCAGGTGTTTAAACATTCGTGTTCTGTTTACATGCTTCAGGAAAGGAAACTGAAAACAACCCCGCACTCTCAAACACCTCTTCCGTTAGAAACCCCTGGCTTTGATAAGTGGGGTGCTGGAACTCAAGCAACTCAAGCCTTCCAAGCCTCAGACTTGAGAACTCTCGCGGCGTCAGCACTTGAAAGGGGCTTCCCTAAACCCTAAACGTTTAAAACCCTTTTGCAACCAGGGTTTAGGGTTTAGGGTTTAGGGTTTAGCTCTGGTAAGGCCACCAAGAAACCCTGACGAAGCTTCGCATGTTTCGCACCGCTGCAACCTAAGCCCTAAACCCTTAAAACCCTAATCCGCGCTGCTAGTTGGGTTTCAGGGCCCTCATTTGGGGCCTGAGTAATTTGTAATTCCCTTAATTTAATCAAGTCAGCAGAGCAAGCAGAAAAAAATCAATAAACAAAAAACAAAAAAACGCAACGTGCTCAGCCATCCCTGCTGTCCTCCTTCTTCTTCCTTGTCTTTGTGCTGATGGCCACGGCCACGCAGTGGACGATGGAGGCCAGGAGCGCCAGAATGGGAGCTGCGCAGGTCCTCAAGGCATACTTGGTGACCTTGGTTGCTGAGTTTTAGAAGCCCCCCAAAAGTGTACACTTTCAGTGTTATAGGGGATTATGGTATCCCAAAAAGTGTAAAGTGTACTCACTCAGCTACTAAGTGACAGGGCTCATGCTTGCCAGGCATGAGATGGCCAGCATCTCCAAGTTCAGGCCCATGAACTCGAAGGAGCTGAGAATGCGATCCACCGGCGAGGCCCAGGCAATTCCGAACTTGTTGATCACCGCCAGCTGCTGAGCAACTATGAGGAGCTGGCTCAGCGGCAGCGTGAGCATGGAAATCTGCGCTGCCTGGGTTGTACGGTCGACATCCATGTTGAGCGAAAGGTACAGGAGCGCAATGCAGCCCACGACGGCAACAGCTGCTGTTAGGATTACGACGTACGATGTGCCTGTGCAGGGGCCACAGGTCCCGTTACGCAGGGACTGCATGCCAGGAAGGCAGTCGTAGCATGTGACAGAGGCCGAGTCCCGGCCGTCGGCGCAAGTTCCCGGCAGGCCACCTGGGCAGCGCGATCCGTCGCCGAAGCAGCGGAAGATCTTCCCGGGTTCCGAGTCTGATGCGAAAAAACCCGGAAGCACTTCCACTGCACTTGACCCAGGACAGCGGGAGCCACTCATGCAGCTCGTGCACTGGCCCTGGCGGCTCATATACCAGCCCTCCACACAGCCACAGAATTCTTCCGACGTTGCCCCATCAACTTCGATCCATTTCTGATGTCTGTCACTTGCCAGCAAGCGGCTGGTCGTTGATTGATTACCCCCACCGCATGCCACGCATTCACTGCTTCCCGTCACGTTGGCATAGCGTCCCGAGGGACATCGTAAGCAGTACGCTTGGCGCTCTTTGTCTGCATAGGTCCCAACATCGCAAGGGCTGCAGAAGCTCTCTCCAAAGGCGCTTTGCGAGAAGCCGGGCGCACAGGGCACGCAACGATGTGTTGGCCCAAGCTCATCCACAAACTCCTCCGAAGCCTTGCCGGCAGCGCATATGCTGCATCCCACAGCCTCTTCTCGGATGAGGACGTGCTCGCCCGCACTGTTTTGCATGCCGTAGCCTTTCAAGCATTGCGTCTCGATGGGGACCCACCCCTCCCACTGGGTTCTTCTGGAACGAATCCACTGACAAGCGACGTCCTCCATTGAGGCCCCGGCGGTGACCTCAGCGAGGAGTTCTTGCACCTCAGCGAGCTCAAGCTCAAAGTTCTCCAGGAATTTCACCACCTTCGGCGCGCGCTCGCGGAGGTCAGAAGACACAAACTTGACGATGCGGAACTGGCCATCCGCAGTCCGGTACAAGTATTCCTGCCATTCGCGAGCCCTGTGGCGTGGCCAAACCAGCAAGGAAGCATCGATCTGAGTATGGGTGGCGTCCGGAAGCCAGCAATGGAACAGTGTCCGTGCGGTCGCGGCCATGGACACATACCGACCCCAGGGCGCGATGCCAATAGCAACTGGCATGTTAAAGTGAGCCGCCCACTGCATGAACCCGTTCAATGCCCAGCCATTTCCAGTGGCGATGGTCGGGATACACTCGTCTACATTCTGCCGGCATGCTGGCGAAAGCCAGAAGTGCCCATCTGGGCAGTAGGCAACCAATGTCCCGTCTGAGGCATTGGTAATGCCTGCCGTGTCGCCAGTCCACCGCACGTACGCTTTCAGCTGAGACTGCGACCTAAACGTCGTGTCAGTGGTGTTGCATGGCAGAAAATCTCCCGGATCAAGGTCAGACACTCGGTCAAAGAACCGGTGCACCTGGTGAATGGATGCATTGTAGCTCTTGTAGAACTCGAGAGCTAAACCTGCCTCGGAGTAGGCTGCACCCCGGACGGCCCCGTTCACGCAGAGCGAGTTCTCGCCTGAGTAGCCAATGGAGCCGAGGTCTTCAGGGCCCAGGCCAGGGTTCTTGACCTCGAAGGCCGTGATCTCAGGGATCTTATCGGAGACCCATGCATCCATAGCCACATGGTTGCGCACCTGCCGTCCCGTGCAGTCCTCATCGGTACAACCGGCTAAGTCAGGAATCGCACTTAAGGCGCCCGGCAACTTGTCGGGAAGGATCACTGCATGATACCCCAGCACTTCCTGGATGAAGATGTTGGCCATGATGGACGTCAACTCGGCGGAAGCCCAATCGAACACCCGAATGCGGATTGGGCTTTCATCCATGCCCGACACTGCTCGGCTAATCGCATCTTGCTGGATGTAGCTCCGGTTGGTCGCAGGAATGCCATCGAGCAAACATGTCGTGGAGGCGGACGGGATGACCGCGCATGCACCAAAAAGGCTCAGCAATGACCACGCTGGTGCCCCTGGAGAGTGAGTGCCCATAGCTTGGCAACAATTGACCTATGGAGTTAACATTTCACTTGACCTGTGGAATGGCCCGGCACGGATGTACAAGGGTTCAGGCTACAGGTACAATGATTGGCGAGACCAAAACAACTGATTGGGCTTTTGTGGTTTGTGGCTTCGAGAGACTACATCCGCGCCTCCAATGTTAGTGGCTCAGTGCCGGTCCTCCAAGCGCTTTCGTACAGCCTCAAGGTCAGCTTTGTCCTTGGCCACTTGTTGCAGTCTGTGAACTTGAGGTACTGTAGGGCTGCAGGCTAGTCCTGACCCCCACCCACCATTCCATGCAACTGAGCACTTGCAGACTTGGCCCCCCCCAAAAGAGTGTTCCGGAAGCCCTCATCCCTTCTGACGCCTGAGGCTCCCTCGAAAGCCAAGCCCAAAACCCCAAAGGCGGAGGAACTTTAGTGAGACGGAATAGGCTCAAAGTGGGCATTCTCCTTTGACATGTTCACCCTTATACTGACAGTCCTTAAACAGGGATGAAGATAGGGGAAGTACTATCAACCCTATTAAGGACTGTTAGTATAAGGGGGAATGTCCCAACTTCTTCCTCTCTAAGCCCTTTCTTTACCCTCAACCCTAAACCCTTTTTACGTCTAGGACTGCTGCACTGACAACCCTAAACCCTAAACCCTAAACCCTAAAAGAAGCCCGAAGACCTCCCCCTGGAAAACGAAGGGCGGCCATGGTTCGGCTTTGGGATCCAGGGCCACTGTTAGCTCCTCTCGAAAGGCTGGTTGGCTTAGATGGGGCGTTAGGGTTTAGGGCTTATAGGGCTTAGGGCTCAGGGCTATACTGCATGGTTACACACGAAGACACACGGGATGTGGTTCTACCAGGCCCGTTGAGAAGTTCCCGCCACGGTTTTTGTCTTTTTGAAGGTGCAAGTGAAAGCCCCCTTCTGTCCGAGGCTCTTGTGGAGCTGGAAGCACCCGAAACTCCCGACCCCTATGTAAGCACCTGTTGGGCAACCCTCTTGGCCAGCCTCTTGGCATGATGCGGATGTCACAATTGAGTCTTTGGCTGGAAGGCACGAAAATCTCGCACCATGACATGCTAAGCAACGTCTGATCTTGCTGGCACGCAGTGCATTTTTCGCGATGCTATAACATCACTGGCGTAGTTGCTAACCCCAGCTCCGTGGTCCTGTCTAGCGTGATGATGCTGATTTCATGGCAGGAACCAGACCTATGACATTGTTGGATAACACAGCTCTTGTGGCAGGGTCCCCATGCAATCACCCGGAAATTACCCACATCTGGGTGGAGGTTTCGGCATCTTAAGTTTTATTAAGGGTTTTTGGATTTGAGGTGTTGGAGCCTCAATCTGCGCTCATCCTCTGTCAGCATGCCATCGCCATTTGCAGGTTCACAGGGCACTGTGGGGATGGTGGGCACGCTGAAAAAATCAAGCTCTGTTCCGGAAATTAAATTAAGAGCAGCAAAAAAAGACACGCATTGCGCGCCCCCAGGCATCGAACTCCTCAAAACTGGGGGTTCCGTAGACAGCTCCCCCCTGGTTCTTAGTAGGGAATGAGGGAACGAGGGCCCTGTATATGCCCTTAAGGCATTATGTAGGGCCCTCATTCCCTCATTCCCTACTAAGAACCAGCCACAGTCTCCGCAATAACTCTAAACCCTAAACCCTAAACCTTAAACCCTAAACCCTAAACGCTAAACCCTAAACCCTAAACCCTAAACCCTAAACCCTAAACCCTAAGCAACACTGAGTTCAACTCGGGCCTGCAGCTGCTCCTGGGCCTTCTGGAGGTCGTTGCGCTCTGCCTGGGAAAAAACCATGTTGCCTCAACTTCAGGATGGGGTTTAGGGTTTAGGGTTTAGGGTTTAGGGTTTAGGGTTTAGGGTTTTTTTTTGCCACCCGACTAGGGTTTAGGGTTCAGGATGGTTCAGGCTTAACCAGGGCTGTCTTCGGGGGGTCTCTGGAGTCTTCCTTCTCTTCCTTCGCCTTTGGAGGATGTTTTAAGGTTCAAGGCGCTGGTGAGATACTGCGGCTTTCCAGGCTTGGGATCCCAAAACGTAGCATTGAGGATCGAATCCCTACTGTAGCTGAAGGGGTTGCACGTCTTTGACCAAAAAACAAAAATCACACCCAAAGCCCCCTAATCTCGGTCTAGCCAACTTGCTCTATAAGGTTCCGAGATGGGCGTTTTAGGGCGTAGGGAGTGAGCGGGTGGGGACGGGGGGTGGGGGGAAGGGAACGACGTTGCGCCTTGCCCTCCACACACTCCCCGAAGATGATCACCTGTGGCAGAGAGCCGCGGTAACAGGATTCAGTGTGTCCGGGTTGGACACTTGAGGAGATTTGGGCATCACACCCCGAAACCCCGAATCCAAAAGACATGCCGACGCCTGCTCTTCAAGGCGCCGAAGGGCCATGTCCTTCCGGGTGCAGGAAATGGGGGGGGGGGGGTGCGGTAGGATTTGCGGGTTTTCTTTTTGTTTTTTCCTCAGGGTTTCTGCCAGAGGTCACCGTCTTTGTTCTTTCAGTCTGGGCTTGGAGTGTGGGTCGCTGGTGTCAGGTGTTCCCATGTCCGAAACCTCCCTCCCTGCATGGCATTGGTGACTGCACTGACGACATACTGGGCACAAGGAACTATGGGTTATCGGGACCCGCCTAGAACCTGCTAACGTTGGATGCTGATTCAAATTCCCCCCCCCCCCCCCCCACACAACCCACGAAACAAAAGAATACCAACCGAACGAGCATCATGAGCATCAGCTGCGACTGTGCCTTCAGAAGGGAGCATCATGAGCGTCAGTTGCGACTGTCCTTCAGCAGCGGGCCCCCCAAAGCGAGCATCATGAGCATCAGCTGCGACTGTCCTTCTGCGGCGGGCCCCCATCAGCTGCGACTGTCCTTCAGCGCCGGCCAGACCCCCAAAGTGAGCATCATGAGCATCAACTGCGACTGTCCTTCGGCGGCAGACCCCCAAAGCGAGCATCATGAGCATTAGCTGCGACTGTCCTTCGGGCGGCAGACCCCCAAAGCGAGCATCGCGAGCATCAGCTGCGACTGTCCTTCTGCGGCGGGCCCCCATCAGCTGCGACTGTCCTTCAGCGCCGGCCAGACCCCCAAAGTGAGCATCATGAGCATCAGCTGCGACTGTCCTTCGGCGGCAGACCCCCAAAGCGAGCATCATGAGCATTAGCTGCGACTGTCCTTCGGGCGGCAGACCCCCAAAGCGAGCATCGTGAGCATCAGCTGCGACTGTCCTTCAGCGGCGGGCCCCCGCAAAGCGAGCATCATGAGCATCAGCTGAGGCAGTTCTTCATGAGACAGGCCCCCAAAGCGAGCATCAGGAGCATCAGCTGCGACTGTCCTTCAGCGGCGGGCCCCCATCAGCTGCGACTGTCCTTCAGCGCCGGCCAGACCCCCAAAGCGAGCATCATGAGCATCAGCTGCGACTGTCCTTCGGCGGCAGACCCCCAAAGCGAGCATCATGAGCATTAGCTGCGACTGTCCTTCGGGCGGCAGACCCCCAGGCGAGCATCATGAGCATCAGCTGCGACTGTCCTTCAGTCGCCGGCCCCCCAAAGCAAGCATCATGAGCATCAGCTGGAACAGTTCTTCATGAGAAGGGCCCCCAAAGCGAGCATCATGAGCACTAGTTGCGACAGAGGGACTAGAATCATCAGGGCTCGACATTAGGCTTGAGGGACATCGCCGAAGCCTTGGGGAGTCACCGAGTCAAATCCCTAAAAACGGTTCAAGCCCCTCCACTCAAGCCGTCCAACAGCCCCGCAGTGGTCTCAACCCTGAGCCCTTATAAGCCTACTCTGGCCCCCAATCTCCTTTGGCCATTCGCATGCAAATAAATCACTGCGCCTGTTTACCCGCATAGGTCTCTCAACAAGCATTCAAGCCCCATTTTTGCATTCAGGCCCCTGATCCACGACTGACTCTTTGCCCTGGCACGCTGAACCCCTAAACCCCAAGACCCTAAGACCTTAAACCCCAAAAACCCTAAAATCCCTAAACCCCTTGTTGCATCCTAAACCCCTTTACAACACCCTTAAAGCCCCTAAGCACCTAAACCCCCCTAAAACCCTTTTTTCCGTAAACCCCTCAACACCCTAAAACCCTAAACCTCTTTTTTTGCTGAACCCCCTAGAACCCTAAAACCCCTTTTTTCCCTAAACCACCCAAAAACCCCAAAGTGGCCCAAGGCGCCTCCGCTTTCCGCTCCAGGCTGTGGAGGACCTTCGCTCGCAGGGCTTGGGATCCGGCTCGAAGCCCTTGACCAAACAAAGGGGATTTAGGGCTTAGGGTTTTAGGGCTTTAGGGATAGGGTTTAGGGTCTAAGGGTCTATAGGGTTTCAAGGTTTATAGGGTTTAGGGTTCCTCAAGCGAACGCACTGCAGGGTATTATCCGGTGTTCTTTCGACGGATGTTCTGCTGCTTACCTCTAAGCATCACTCCAACAGTCACTATGGGTATACTCAAAAAGGGGACAGGTCCCCAAGTCTTGCACCCATCTCTCTATTGTAGTGTCTGTGCAGAAGTCAAAAGTGCCCTTTCTGTGACAAATGCGGAGTCGGGATGCGGCATGCTCTGTGTGAGTGCCCGGACGTCAGACCTGTTTGTGGTATCAGGGCTTGCGCTTCACACCAGCAGGAGTGTATAGAGGCGAACCTCCGCCTGATGCAGGTGCCTTTTCGTTCGGCACGGCGGACACCATAGACGCAGCTAGGATTCCGATACGCAGGACGCGCCTTGGCGGGAAGCATCGCGAAGTATGCGAGGTATCGCGAAACCCATCCCTGCCCCCTCTCCTCAACTTCGCTGTTAGGGGAGTGGCCTTGTGGGAGATGCAAGACATGAATAACAAAGGGGGTTTTGGGTTTAGGGTTTATAAGTTCCTAAACTCCTCTGACCTTGTTGAGCCGTTCGTCGAGCTGGTCCAGGCGGCCACTGGTGGCCTTTTGCTCCATCTGCTCGCCTTCCGGTTGAGGGCTTTCCGGGCATTCTGCCCCAACCCAAACCCTTTAGGGGTTTGGGGTTTAGGGTTACCCTAGTTCGAAACCCAAGCCATCAAACCCAAAACTAAAGCCCGTGAAAACAACAAGCCCGAGTTCCCAGACCCTGTCAACCTGTAAACCCTAATCCCCCCAACCCTTTTGAACCTGGAAGCTGCTTCATGCCAGCCCTGAACCCTAAACCTTAAACCCTAAACCCTTTTGAGCAACGGACTAAACCCTAAACCCTAAACCCTAAACCTAAAGAGCTGGGGATTCCGAAGCCTTCAGGGCTTAGCAACGGTTTTTCCCGACTTTAGGGACTACATCAACCCTAAAAGAGCTTTATAACGGCCCAGATGAACGTTTCCAAAAATGCGGTTACCCCTTGTCTATCCCCAAATACTCACTCCTTGTTCTAGGACCCCCTCAAAAGGGTACCCCTATTTTGGGGCAATCCTCCTGTACCATGAAAGGGGGTCATTGTTGATGCACAAGTCCCCGATCCGACATGGCGGAGACATCTTGAACAACATTGCCTACTGACCCGGCGTCGATGGACACACCCTATGCCCCCCCCACCCCCCGTGAAGCATGAACGCTACATCTGCATGCCGCTTTTTGTGGCGGGGTTCTTGCACCAACTGGGGCTCATGAAAGGGCGAAGGGTAGGATTGGCTTGGCTCAAGTTTGTGGGATGTGTTGTCGGCCTATTCTGGTGATCTTCTGCATGGCAGTGGTCATGAACCTCGGCAAGAGGCACAAGAGAAGATAGGGAACGGGAGGGGGCACATAGGCGAACTCTGGGGTAAGCACCCCATGTCCAACGACATCCAACGACGGTTTTCAAATTTCTGCCATGTGCTTACTTGAGAGCCTGAGGTCTTATTGTTAAGGGCATCGGCTTGAGTATGGCAGGCAAAGCAACTGTCCGTCTCCACAACTACCCAATACGTGCATGTACAGAGAGCAAACATAGACGTGCGAATAAATGTCAAGATATACAAACATAAACCAACAGAATTACATGCACAACTTTGTATGTATATGTATATGAATATGGTTTCTTATGTATATGTATATGTACATGTATATGCATATGTATATTTATATGTCTATGTCCATGTCCATATCTATGTATATATCTCTGTGTGCGTGTGTGTCTATTTAATGATACTGACCACTCCAAAAAGGATCTCGTTGCGTTGGAGCTTCAGAAGCACAGGGAAATTCACAGATTGCCAGGGAGGAGGCCTCAATTCCCTCTGGAATTGACAGGAGATTGCAAGACATGTTACTGCATATAGTCAGTATAAGTTGTTGCGCAGGGCTGTCCAGCAGTCTGATGTTGGCTCCTGCCTTTCGAAGCTCGTCCGCTATCTGGCAGCTTGTGCAACCAGGGGATGACGCTGGCCCAGCCTGTTCTGGTTGAGGGGAGCTTCATGTCCCGCACCAGGCACGGTATCCCCATATCGCGATGCCACCGAGCTCGATGTTAGGGTTTAGGGTTTAGGGTTTGGGGTTTGGGGTTTAGGGTTTGGGGTTTAGGGTTTAGGGTTTAGGGTTTAGGGCAAACAGCAGCACCCTGATTGGGGAAAGCGTCCAGCTGATGGGGCTGGCAAAAAAGCTGGACGCTCGAGCTCCGGCATTGGCAGTTGCAACGCGAAATTTATCTGCATGTGCCAAAATAGGGGTGTTGTCTGCGTGTGCCAAAAGGGTATTCCTTACAGTCTTACAGCCGCCAATGGCTCCTTGCGTCTCTGTGCGCGAACAAGAAGATCATGAATGGGACAAGTATTTCAATGGTGGCTTGTCTTGAGCCGGTGCGAGATTGCAGAGGCCGCTCTCTTTGGCACGCGCTCTCCTCACCGCTTGAATGAGGCTAGTGCTTAGACTAGAGCAATATGTTCTGTATTTTCAGTTCCCAAAACATCCCAAGACCCAGCGTAAACCCTACAAACACACCCTCTCGAACGCTAATCAAGTCCCCAGCAGCCACATTGGTTTGGGGTTTTGGGTTTAGGGGCTAAGGCTATGTATCATGCTGAATGATGCCTCCAAAAGGTTTTGCAGCAGCAGCCTAAGTAAGTGGGTGGAAGGGCTTTGGGGGGGTTGAGGCTTTCAGGTTTAGGGGTTTAGGGTAGGGAAGCTGTTCTAATACAATGCATATAGAAATAGTACTCCAACGATGTTTCGAGCTCCCCCCCCCCCCCCCCCCCCCCCCCCCCCCGCCCGCCCCTGGTCTGCCCGAAGGAAACACCCTAAACCCTAAACCCTAAACCCTAAACCCTAAACCCTAAACCCTAAACCCTAACCCTAAACCCTGAACCCTAAACCCTAAACCCCAAACCCTAGACTGCGGGTCCGGCTCTGAGGTCTCGCGATCCTCGGAGGTGAGGCGAGGGGGCTTTAGGGCTTATCTTCAGAAACCCAAAACCTACCGTCTTGGTAGGTTGCCTCAGAATCCTATGAGGAGCTTTTATCATGAGGACCTACAAAAGGTAGGTTTGGGGTTCTTATGGTGGGGTTTCTTGTGTGTAGCGTTTAGTGCTTGTGTAGATCTTTGCCTCGCCTCCCCAAAACCACCACACTGATTGCACCCACCACTGGCTTCCATGGTTGCTGAGGAAAAGATCTCAGCAGGATTGGCTTAGTTTTGGAGTGGGGCTGCTTAGGTTCGGATTCACTCATGCCGCCCACAAGTTTGTAGAATCATCCTGGGCCCCTCCGTCCATTGAGAAAGGCCTGCAATTTAAACCCACCTGTGCCCTGCAACGACCCTAACCCCTTGGGCCAACCAGCACGCCCCCCAACTACCCTTGAGCCCTAATGGTAGGGTATAGAAGCCCCTTGCTTAAATGGTAATTACCCTAAACCCTTTGAACCCTAAACCGTTCAACCCTAATGGTAGGGTATATCAGCCGCTTTATTAAGGGGTAGTTGGGGTTGGTGCAGCAACAGAAAGAACCCCAAACCCCAAACCCTAAACCCCAAACCCTCGGCTGCTCGCGCTGCGGGGAAGGATCAACAGACATGTTGAGAGGTCCACGATATACCATAAACCCTAAACCCTAAACCCCAAAGGCCCCCGGGCGAGCTGATCCACCTTCTGCGCCAGGCCGTGGCCCAGGCTCCCCAGTTGCGAGCGCATCCTACAGTCAAAAGCTTTTCTGTTTTCTTTTTGCACTCCGAAGCCGAAGCTTTAGGGTTAAGGGTCTATATGGTTTAGGGTTAAGGGTTTATATGGTTTAGGGATAAGGGTTTATCTGGTTTAGGGTTTCTGTGCTTTAGGATATCTTTGGTAGTTTAGGAGTTTCGGATCAAGACCAGAGATTTTTTTCGGGTTTCGCGCAGGTGCAGTTCTTGGGATCAAGGGTTCAGGCGCGGTTCCAGAGCCACCCTCTGCCCTCCCAGGTTTTAGCCTGCCGGGCCAGGGTGCACTGGACTTCAGGGCTCCCAAATCAGCCCTGAACATCTGCCCTTCTTTTTTCTCGGGGGCCGGGGAATTTGTTCGCACCTAAAACCCAAAATTCCGAGCCCCCGGCTGGCCAATGTCAGCCTGGTCGGCCTTCAAGGCAAAGAGATTCCGGTGCTCTGCGACCTCCAGCTCGCATGAACGGCGCAAAGGCAAGAGGAATTCGGGGCTTGCCTTGTTTTTCGAGGTTTCTAAACGGCACCATGGGGTTTAGGGTTTATAATAGCATGAACTTCCGTGCAAACGCAGAGACGGCGGCTGCCAGAAACACATCAACCAAGCCCAATCATAACCCTGAATCCAAGAACCAAGTTTAGGTCTCTACAACATCCCCCCCCCCCCCCCCCCCCCCGTAGAACCAGGAGCCCACGAACTCTGCCAACCCGGAACATTGCGAAATCTGAATTCCCCAAAGTACTAGTTAAACCTGCTAGCTGTAGCTGAACCCGCCACCTCCTGAGAAACCTTCTCAAGCTGGGCCGACATCCTGGGCGGGCGGGTTGAAATTTGAGTGTCCAAGCCGGGCACTGTACAATGATGAATACAACAAGATCGACAGTACTGCAGTAATACAATTGTCGTTCATTCATGGAGTATATACCGCCTTCTAACCTCTCGTTCTATGGATCGACGCCCGGACGGTTCTCGTGTCGGTGCAGTTTGACTTAGCCGACCTGGCGCCACCGGTCACCGGACTGTCGCAGCGCCAGGGTTGGTCGGGTTGTGCCCAGGGGTGTGGGGGGTGCAGGTCTGTGCAAGCGGAAGCACCAGGACTTGCTTCAACCCTTCAGGGGGGGCGGAAACATTCGGAGGTGGGTTCTGAAGCACAAGTAAGTTTAGCAAGATCTCCTGATTTCTGTGAAGCCTCCCTCGAGCTTCCCCGACGGTGTGAACGCTAGACTTGTGACATCTGGGAACTGGCCTGATGCATGAAGATATTGACACTCCAAGTTTGGATTCGCAACTCCGTAACTGTCGGGTCATCTTGGGCATCATCAGTCTGTAGGGGTTACAAATCTAATGATTAAGAGCCTCTGGCTTTAGCAAGGCTTGCGCAATGTCGGCGCTGTAAAGCGGCAGGACAAACGACTCCTAGAACATCCAAGAGCCACAAAGGCCCTTGACTTCCCCCGGGACGTGACTTCAAGAAGGGCCATCCCAGGGTTCATCAACATTGTAACACTCCGCAACCTCCGCCTCACTCCTGAGAGATTCACACATCCGTCAGGGTTTAGGCGCAGGGGCCTCGGGAAAGATTCGAGAGCGTGGAGGGAGGGATTCGGACTTGGGGGGCTTGGAGGGCACCCCCTTTTTTCAAGAGGCACCACTAAACCCTAAACCCTAAACCCTAAACCCTAAACCCTAAACCCTAAACCCTAAACCCTAAACCCTTTCAAACCCTAAACCCTAAACCCTAAACCCTAAACCCTAAACCCTAAACCCTAAACCCTAAACCCTAAACCCTAAACCCTAAACCCTAAACCCTAAACCCTAAACCCTAAACCCTAAACCCTAAACCCTCACCCTAAACCCTACACTATGGGAAGTCTGTCTGGGAAGCCCCGCTGCTCGATGCGCGGGCCGAGCAGGCTAAGCCCATGTAGCAGCTCATCCATGGCCTCAGGGTTTAGGGCTTTTAGGGTTTTAGGGTGTTAAGGTTTAGGGTTTTAGGGTTTTAGGGTTTAGAGTTTGGGGTTTAGGGCCCTGCAGAGTCAAATGCCTTTCTGGCGCTGCCAAATGCGGGTTGAGGCCTTAAAGCAGGGTAGGGTCTGGAAATGTCTTGGTGCTGCAGGGTTTTGGGGTTTTTGATTCAATTGATGCGCTGTACCATCTACTTCCCGATGTCAGGGCTCCATGTTTTTTGACACTCACCGGCAGGATGAACCTTCGGGAAGTGATGGCTGTTGTCCTTCTGACAAAGACGCAATTGTTTTCAACGGTTAGGACGCAGCGACCACGACTTAAATTTCCTTATCATATAACTCTTCATATAGCTAGTGATCGCGTTAACTGCACGCTATTGGAGTATTATCTTTACGTCGACTGCCGAGGCTGCTCTGCCAAGCGTCTTCTTCTGAGCCCCGGCCACCCCTCCGAGCAAAGAGAGGTCTGCGGCCGGCTGAGCCCGCATGGCTTCGGGTGTAGGCTGTACAGGGTTTAGGGCCCATGAAGATTAGGGGTTTAGGGTTCAGGAACTTGGGGGTTTAGGGGAAAAAGACCTTCAAGGCCTCGGCCCAAAGGAAGTCCGAAGACGAAGCCTTTTGAAGACATCTGGGTCGGGACATGTTGGAGCTTTGGGAAGTCGGGAAGCATGTGCTCCCAAACCCGACATCAGCCCTAAAGCGCGAGTGCTAGAACGTTCGGATGCCGCCCTCCCTCCCCTCCCCCGCCTTCTCCCTCTGGCTACAAAATGGTGCGAGTTCCTGTGTCCACCCTAGACCCTTGTTATAAAAAACGCCTGTTTGGAAGCCTGTTTGGGAACGCGAAGCCAATTTCGAGCCTGGCCTCTGCTGCTCCTGTCAAGTGCACCTTCCTTGGGGGCATGTAACATACCAACCTGAGAGGAACTTTAGCTGAGCCTTCGGGGATAGAAAGCCAACACCCCCGAATGAAGTCCCAACGTGGAGAGCTCAGCATGCTTTTGCCATTCATCTGAGGGTCCGGTTGCAGTACTCTTATGGAATTAGGTCCACAGAAAAGCCCTCCACAAAGATTCTCTTTTGAGCCTAAAGCCCTATAAACCCATGAAGGAACCATCCCCAAACTCAACACTCTTTTCTATCCCTCCACCCTAAACCCTCTTAATTCCATAGTCGCACTGCAAATGCACCCTGCATCTCCTGCAATGCGAATGCTCAGTTCTTGAAGCGAGGGCCCCGAGGGAGAGTGCAAACTTTGGGGATGAATCTACAGTTCTCCGATCGGGGTGTTGGTTGGAGGTTTCCGAGGGTTTAGGGTTTAGGGTTTGGGGTTTATAGGGTAACAGGGGTACCCTTTTCTTTTGGGGGGGATTCTCTACTGCTTGGGGTATAAAAGGGGTACCGCTACCTCCATTTTGGGAGATACCCATATCGGGACCTCCTTGCCTTGCAGCAACCGGGCAAGGCCGCAAGGCTTCAGGGAGCTGGAGATTCAGGGTTTTTTTTGGGGGGTTTAGGGTTTAGGGTGTAGGGTTTAGGGTTCAGGATTTCAGGTTTTGCTTCTAGGGCTGTGGTGGTCCGAGTGTTGCTCCCTTGGCACCATGAGGGAGTCCTGAGGTGAACGGCTTAAACACGGACCGTTGCGGATCTGCCTGCAGCTACGGTGTTGGCCGAGGGGGCTAGGGTTTGAAATGGTTTGAAGCTAAGCATGGGCACTCACAATGGGGACTATGCGTATACCACTTTGAAACAGGGATTCTCCACAGTCTACAGCTGGCGGCTTCTGTGCTTTAGTGGCAATTATTGGTGTGGGGTTGGGAGTTGGGGTGTGAGATGCCTGGGCAGGGCAGGTCCGCAAATCCGTACGCGCAGATGCACTGCCACTAGCTCTAAACAACCCTTTTCGCTACTATGACACAATTGATGACAATTGTACACATCCGTCAATACAAGGCCCCGAACAATGGACCTGGGTGACACATACGACTCAAGCGTCAGGATACTGGGCAGTCGTCGCGGACATACTTGCCTTTCACAAGCTGGGGCGGGCGGCTAAAGCTGGCCGCCAGCATCTCAAGCCACAGATCTCTGCTACCAGGGATTCTCTGAAACGCACACAAGCCTAAACCCTATAAACCTCCGAAACTCCTCAACCCTACAAGCGAAATACAGGATGTGGTTTGTGCTACTAGCATGTGCTCCGCCCCATCCCTCCGTCCGGATTGGCATCTATTCTTGGATGAGCCATGAATCACTACATGTATTGTCTAAACCCTAAACCCTAAACCCTGAACCCTAAACCGTGTTCCGCTTTGCTTTAGCGACTCTAACTTGCATGGTTCTACCGAATACGAAAGGCTTCTTTGACTCGTGGGGGTCCTTGTCCGGCTATATGGAACCTGGCACCTGGTCGTATGATGCCTACATACGAACCCATGAGAAAGAAGGGGTCTAAGAGTTTAGGGTTTAGGTCTTTTGGGGTTTAAGGGTCGGGTTTGGGGGTAAGGGCTTAGTTTTTGGGTTTAAGGGTCTAAGGGATCAGGGTTAGTTTAGGGATTGCATGGCCTGGCGGGATGCAAAATGCATGTGTGAGCAGGCAGTTCCCGAGTGCCCCTGTGCACGCGGCCAAATGCCAGGTCATCTTACTCTTAAACTGCGCGCCCGAAACCCTAAAGCTAAGGACACATCATGATCAAAGTTGAGCCGTGCACGACATTCTTGCCCGTTCCGTGATATGGTAAAGACGTAGTTCAGACTGCAGGCACCGCTCCACACACCTCAAATGCCTGAACCCCATATGCTGGAGAGAGTCCCTGCTTGAAGTTCTGGTACTCTTCCGGGAAGAGCACCTTGGGTTTAGAGGCTTCAGCTGCTAGTTTGGAGAGGCTGCAGTTTTTGGGCTGTTTCGAAAGCTTCGGGAGGCTGGACGAGAAAGGGCTTTGGGCTTCGTTTCGGGTCCTGCCGTAAACATGCCTAAACCCAAGGCCTGGGGTTTGTCTGGTGTCATTTCGGCGCCCTACCACAAACCAAGTGAAGCTTATGGACAGCAACCCGAAGCCCTAACCCAAGGCAACCTGTATCGAAGGCTTCGGGTTCGAGGAACTTCGGGTTCAAGCAGGGATTGCGTCGGTTCGGGGTGCCGTGTGCGTAGGCTCACGGAGCGCGTGATTTTCACTCGGACCGCAGTAGCCCGGCCAGTCAGTGTTCTTGCAATCCCTCAGTTTCAAGGTGTCTACAACCATCAAAGATCTAACAAAGAACCCTAAGTCTTGGGAACCTACCGGACAAAGCGTGTGGTTCATGGAAGGTGCGATGACAAAGCAAGGAACTTTCAAGCTTATGCGTTGTCTACCTCAATAGTCACGAGAAGATAGTGGATCCACCGATCCACCTGAACCTCAAAGCCTCAACTCGAGTCTCCAAAACCCTACATTCAAAAACGCCCAGCCCGCAAACGTCCCCAACACCCCAAACCCTAAACCCGAACCCCTAAACAACCCTAAACCCTAAACCCTAAACTCTAAACCCTAAACCCCTAACCCTGCAAACCCCCAAACCCTGCATGAGGTGCAACAGGCGCTGGTCGCGGGAGGGGCTTCGACACGTCGCCATGCAAGGCTTCGTCGAGGGACCGAAGCTCCAAGGTGCCTAGGGCTTAGGGTTTATAGGGTTTAGGGTTTAGGGGCTAAAAACCTCTATACTGACTAAGATCGAAGAAGGTTGGGAGCAAACGTTCTGGGAAGCCCACTTTGGTTTCCGATTCGGAGTCGAGGGAGCTGTGGGTTTAGGGCTTGCTTGCGTGGCAGGGAAGTTTGGCCAATAGGGTTTAGGGTTTAGGGTTTCTTGCCACCTGCCTAGCAGCCTCGGCAACCACACTGCAGGGATTAGGGTTTAGGGTTCGGGTTTGGGCCGTGGAGGCCGCCTTGTGGCATACCCTGAACTCTGAAACAGAACCCCGATGCGAGGAAACCAGCAGCATTGTCACAAAGCGCTCAGCAATGCAAACCCCTCCTAAGATTTGCAGGCACACGTGCATGGCGAAGCCTTAAACTCCAATACCCCGAAACCACTCAACCAGCCCCTGCCTCGACCCCTTCACCGCCTTCACCCACTGTCACCCACATCCCCAAGGGTTTAGGGTTTGGGGGTGTGGGCGTGGGGTTTAGGGTTACCCTCAACGCCTAACGTCACCAAGGGGCGGCCCCATACGTCGTCCGAGGCATGGTAGGACCTTTTGCAGGGTTTTCGGGTTGCGGGTGGTGGGGGTTTAGGGTTTAATTAGGGTTGCAAGGTTTTAGGGTTCGGCGCCTTCTGGATTGATATATGGGTCCCGTCAACGAAGAGATGCGACTTTTTCGGCTCGCGCAAGACAAACGCGAACTTCAATTCAGGGCCGTGGCACCACTGGGAACTACCCTGCAAAGCTCCCCGAAATAAACGCTTCACGCCCCCCGCCCCTCCCCTAACGACCCTAAACCCTATAACCCCCAACCCCCCCCGGGCCCTCCCCCAAAAAAACAAAAATGCGTACTAGGGCAACCTAGGAGCGGGCTGGCTTCCACAAAGGGCACGCCTCCCCGAACCACCCGCTCCTGCTCCGGGGGATGTCAGACGAAAAACGTCGGGCCCTCTAACCTTCTTTAGGGCTTAGGGCTTAGGGCTTAGGGTTTAGGGGTTTAGGGGTAGGGGTACTCTATTCGGGTCCTTATTACAAGGGATCCTGCTATTGGGGGTCTATATTGGGGTCCCCTATTTTCGTAAACCCCTCTTCAACCATGCAACCGAGCTGAGGGGTTTTAGGGTTCGCGGCTTGGGGTTGAGCATTCTTTCCTGGTAGCGTTCTTACATCGAACTTGAGCACAGCCCTACGCCGGCTATACGTGTGCGAGCGCGACAGTGCCGTCATGCCCCTCTAAGGTCACTGTTTGGACATCACACTCCGTGAGGCTTCTAACGCCTGCTTAGCTATTATTGCCCAGTCAGGACGAACACCTATGCTCTGACTAAGCATTAATCCTCTACATCCCCAACATGGGAAACTCAACCAGAAAACCCTACACAAGCCCTCAACTTGGCACCTGCACGGGCAGCGAGAGTCCGCTGTTCTGCATCCTCTCCTGAGCTTCGTTGACGTTTCTTCAGGCCATGAAGCAGTGCTTGAGCTCGTGGACACTCAGGCTGCATTCACTTTGAAAGCAAGGCCGGTAATGCGTAAGGAAGCTCACCCGATCGCCAAGCGTCCGCCCACTGTGCGGTCACTTCGCTGGAGAGTTGCCTCTGAAGCATCTGACCTGGGAGAGAAAAACTGTGTTGCATTCATCGGAATCGTAGGTTGGATACTCCTCCCGAAAGCAGTAACTAAAGAAGGAGTCTAAGATGGAGCTGTATTTATGCTATGCCCTTTAGTCAACCCTGAAATGTGACTGCTGTATGGCGGGGCAGCACCTGTTTTTTTTGTATGGGGTTGAGCTGCGTTTATATAGCTGGGAGTGCTTAAGCTGGACATCCTACTAGAGCCCTCAACACAGGGCGATTTTAGGGCGCGCCGGGATCACTGGGAGGGAGGAAGGGGGGGCGGGGTGTTTGGAAATAACCGATTTCTAGCACTTGAGCTCCCCAAGCACGACTCTAGGCCAATCCAAGTCACCGTCCTCGGATTTCTTCTGCCTTGGCGGAAGCACAAGGGACAGCCCAAACCTCCGGTTTCATAGCAGACTCTTGGGATGCCTTCTGACTCCACAACTCTTCAAAGTTTGCCGAGGTCTGAGGCTGTGGAAGATTCTGGCAGATGCTTTTCAAGCTATGGTTCTGCTCAAGGATGCCCATGAAGTGTGGATAGGTTGGTCTGCTCTACCATTCGGTCTCACAAACCTGTATCCCCGCCGCTCAACTGACCGAGGTGGGGGAGGCTCGCCGGGTGTAGAAACAACATTCCAACTTGGGGTGCTAGATTCCTGGTACTACCCTGAACCCTACACCCTCTCTTCGTTTATTCCTTATTGTAGAGCTGAGGGACGTGCCGCATCTCATGTCACACCCCAGCCCTGAAGTCCGAGCACCGAAACGGTTGCCATAGGATTCCCCAAGCTGCTGCACTTCAAATGCTATGGCCGGATCCAGTGCTGTGTTGTACTTGGGGTCCAGGCAGTACCTTGCCCACGTGAGGCGTTGGGGTTTTGGGGTCCGGCTCCAGGGGTAAGGGTTCGTTAGAAGGGCTTCGGGCGCATGGTTTTTGGTCTGCACTTCCTTGCAAACGCCATGAGTTATGAGCATACTGGCCTATATGTAACTTTCCCGGCCGACTCCCCAAGCCCTCACGGTCTAATCGAGGGTTAAAGCCTTCTCTTTTGCGGTTCCAGCTCCATCCATGAGCTCCAAAGATCACCGCGGTTTCACGAACCCTGGACGACGCAGGCTTCGAGATTCTGCGAACGTTACACGCTAAATCAAGTAAAACAAGTTTATCTGTATATAAACATATAAATAACAGATATAAATATGAATATAAACTTTAAAAAACTAAATATAAATTAAAATAAATAAATACATAAATAAATAAAGAAATAAATAAATATAAATATAAATATATATATATATATGCATGTGTATATATCTGCATGGATTAACACGAGGATGTACGGATATGTATATTTATATATATACATATGTATCTGTGTATATATGTGTAGAATGTATCTGCATTGAAGCGCATCTTCGGCCGGGTGGCATCAACCGAGGGACTCTCCAGTCCACGTTGTCCTTTGGCAGAGGGCCAAGGAATAGGGTTTAGGGTTTAGGGTTTAGGGTTTAGGGTTTAGGGTTTAGGGTTCAGGGTTTAGGGGGTTTAGGGTTTAGGGAATAAGGAATAGTGGATAGGGTTTAGGGAGTAAGGAATAGTGGAACTGAAGATGCATCGAGAGATTATTTGGTTCCGATTACAGGGATTATAAGGCTTATAGCGTTGTAGGGGTTGCAGGGCTTATAGGGCCCAATTGTCATTTTATGGACTATGGCTGAGACCAAGAAGTGCTCAGAAATGGTGATGACGCGGAGCTTATAAAAAAAAAGGCTTGCATGTTCGTTTGGCCTAGGGTTTCGGTGATGCTGTCTGGGCAGCCATTTCCGGCTGAGCCCATGTCACCTTTACAATCAACCCGCCCGATACCTAGGCTTCTGAGAAGGAGAAACCCAAGGCACGAAGCGATCTGTCCGGGGTTTAGACCGACCCAGGGTCTGAGCCTATAGGCCCTAAACACACATCCCTAAACCCCAAACTCTACACCAACCCCAAAGCAACAAGTAGATCAAATGACAGAGCTGAGGTCGCTACCAGGTTCTGCTCGACGGCTTTCGAGAGGGGCTGGTCATACCTCCCATAATGGAGGTGTGTCAGTTTAGGGCCTTCTGCGGCGTTTTGCGGTTCCGGGTTTAAGGTCTGTGCTTCTTAAGGCTTAGGGGTTTTCGGCTTTTCGGGTTGGGGTGTTGGGGTATTTTCTCTCTCTTGCCAGGGACCAAGACCAAAAACAACAACAGCAAAAACAAAACAATAAACGCAGAGAGAGACAGAGAGAGACAGAGACACAGAGGCACACAAGCAAAACACAACAAAACACAACAACACGTGACGCAATGCAACGCATCCCCAGTACAGTACCCATGTCTGGAGCTTAGGGATTTGAGGGAGGTGAGTTTGGGGCTTCAGATGTTTTGGGACTCAGAGCTTTGTGGCTCAGCTTGTAGCCGCAGAACAGTGGAAAGAGACATCACGCGTTGTTTAGCCAGAAGTAATGCTGCGAAACCCTAAACCCCAAAAGGCCCCTTGCCAGGCGTGCGCCATAAACATCCTTTCGCCCTCTCTCAAGCCCAAGCCCTCCATGCATCCCTAAACCCTAAAAAAAGCTAAACCATGCTAAACCCTAAAAGGACCCAAATCTAAACCCCTGTAGGATTTAGGAGTGAAGTTAGGACTGGCGTTGGGGCCCTTCGCAAGCTTGAGCTTTCTTCAGCTTCCATTTTCTTCAGGGTTTAGGGGTTAGGGTTGAAGTCGCACCCGCCAACTCCCCCAAACCTCCACAAGCAGCCCAAACACTCTCGCCCCCACCCATCTCCCATACACCGCCCTCACCTGCCCCCACCCCCCTCCCACATCACCCTAGACCCTCTCGCAGGCAGTGGGCCCTTTTTCCCCACCGAAGTCTCTCGACCCTAAACCTCTAAACCCTAAACCCTAGACCAAACTCTCAACCCCAATCCCTGCTGAGAGTTTACGAAAAACAAGGGACCCACATGTGGATCCCCAAATAATTAGTAGGACCCCGTTTATAATCAGGACCACCATAAGGTACCCCCAAACCCTAAACCCTGAACCCTGAACCCTAAACCCTAAACCCTAACTCCCATTTGAGAGTCCGCCTGGAGACCAGAGACTGCGCCTGGGCGGGCGGGGCCGCACCCCTGGAGTTCGTCACCTCGTTGAGACCTGGGAAAGACGAGCCGGGGGGATGGGTTTAGGGTTTAGGGTTTAGGGTTTAGGGTTTAGGGTTTAGGGTTTAGGGTTTAGGGTTTAGGGTTTAGGGTTTAGGGTTTAGGGTTTAGGGTTCTCAGGGGCGGCCCTTCCGGCTTCGAGGCTTAACAGGTTTTCTGGTTTGAGTTGAAGGCTTTGTAGGCTTTAGCGTTTGATAGGGTTCAAAGTTCAGGGTTGAATTTAAGGCTTCTAGTTTCCAGCATTTAGGGGTTTGGGCTTAGCAGGTTTCAGGGGGTTGCGAGGGTCCTCCCTCGCCCCCTGTCCTTCATGGTCTGTGGTTCGTGGGCTTGGGGTTTAGGATCAGACTGCAGGGCTTCAGGTTTTCACTTTGCCTGCGTGGTTCATGGTGGGTTTAGGGTTTAGGGTTGTAGGTTTACGGTTTCCCCTCTGCCCCCCCTGTGGTTCGTGGTGGGCTCAGGGCTAACAAGAAAGCATATATGTTCCTGAATGAAGGATCCTCTGAGACCCGAGGATCGCAAGCAACATGAGCACACTGTGCACATGCATGTCCGAGTTGAGGGTCACAGCAGGGCGCCAGGCATACCATGCACGTAGTTTCTTTGATCAGGTGGAACTCCAAGGAACTCCGTTGCACACGAGCCCCCCCTTATAATCAAGAGAATGCGCCAGCTTGCAAGTACAGGCCCAGTGCGAGCCCAGCAACTTTGCAGGAGTTCCTGTCGCCTCGTCAGCGCCGCATCCAAGCCTCGGGCAAAAGAGCAGAGGGAACCCGATGTGTTAAACTTGAAGCCCTGAAGTCCTCGTCTTGCTGCGAAAGGGTCGTAATCTTCCTTCGTTTTACGGTCCGCCACCTGCGGGACATCGAGCCGGACTCGCCATTCTTTCTGCCCTTCTTGCCGAAAAATCTCTGGGGGCCAGCGGCTTGTACCACAAATAGCCCTTGACAACGCCTCCAGAAGCTACAAAAGCAGTCCTCCACCAAAATCCTAAGCGCCTTCTAAACATTTGTACTTCATGTTCAGCCCTGAACTCAAACACCTGAAAGGGCCCTAAAGCCACCTATCCCCAATTCGCGTCCATGACACCACCTCGGAGTCCGAGAAAAAGCAACATTCGCTCCCAGTAAAAGGGGGGGGGCACCTCACTTTCTTCTTAACGTATACGACCACCATGAACATATCCGAACTAGGTCGACCTTGAACCTTTCATGGACTGAATTGCGCGGCAGGCGACATTCGTTGAGCTCCTTCTTCGCCACCGCGTACTGCTCGGGGCTCATGGGCTGGCGAGCCGGTACCTGACGCCGATGCGGGTGAACTCTGAACCCCCTTTTCTCTTTCAACCGCAACATGCTTTGTTCAAGGGAATCTTTTATCACGGGACCCTGGAGTTTCGCTTGAAGTCACAGGTGAGGCTTGCCAACTGTGAGTTGTTACGATTGTGCTTGCGTTTTGGGCACCTAAGCCCTGCATCCCTGACCATGTCTGCCCAGGTGCCGGCTGCGAAGCAGGAGGCATCTGTGCAGGCACCATGGTCATGGGAGGTCCCTGAGGTCCTCGCACGGAGCTGAAGGGCGAGTTGGGCGCCATGGAAGGCATTGAGCCCATGGGAACCATGGGCCCTGGCCCCATGGAGTTCATGGGTCCAGGCCCTCTCGAGTTCATGGGCCCAGGCCCCATGGAGTTCATGGGTCCGGGTCCCCTAGAGTTCATGGGTGGCCCCATGGAGTTCATGGGTCCAGGCCCTCTTGAGTTCATGGGTCCAGGGCCCATAGAGTTCATGGGTGAAGGCCCCATAGAGTTCATGGGGCCAGGCATGGGCCCAGGCCCCATGGAGTTCATGGGCCCAGGTCCCATGGGCCCAGGTCCCATGGAGTTCATGGGCCCTACAGTGCTGTAAGGCCCCTGGCCCATGTGGTCCATGGTCCCTATGGTGCTGTAAGGCCCCGGGCCCGCATCCATCATATCCATCGTCCCCATGGTGCTGTAAGGCCCCGGGCCCATGGGCCCACGCATGGATGCCATGGGGTTCGTTGTTGCTGAGGCCACTTTTGTGTGGCTGGAGGGATTCGTTTCTGCGAGCCAAAACAGCGCCGAAGATCCCACCAACGCCTGATGGCATAGGATGTGCACACCGGCGCTGGACTAACACGGGGTCACCTTGTTGTTGAATCTGCATTGCATACAGGCTGTCGAAAGCACCAATGACCAAGTAAAAAAGCTCCACAGCAAGCACGGCAGGTATCTTTGCACAGCGATTCTGTCTGTGGGTCCATGTGCTGTGCAAAGTCAGGCATTTGATGCAATCGCCGACTTCAATCTCTACAGTAAAGCCTCTATAGCTTCTCTTAGACTAGCAAAAGTTGCGCACAAGCAACAGCTATTGGCCATGAGAGTGAAGCCTCCGAGCTATCCTTGATTTCCAACTAACGTCTGAAGGCTGCTGCTCTTTGTGCAGCACGCTGGCACTGTCTCTGGGGACGCACGGGTCAGTTCACTCCTGTCGTGTACATGCCTGCTATTGCCATGCCACGTCCACATCATGGAAAAACACTCTATAGATGTCCCAACAGCGCGGGTATAAGTGCATAACATGGCCTGACAGCACTAGTACAGTGAGCAAGCTTTGAGAAGGCAACTGGCTCTGTGCGGTTTATCCGGCATCTGTGTAAAGGCGTTTGGACATAAGGATCGACTGTAGCGACAAGTGCTCTTTCACATGCAATGTGATGCTACATAGGCCACGGTGACTCTCCACGATTCCCACCTCGGTACACCTCAGAGACGAGCTTTGGTCTAAACAACCAAGGGGGGCTGCTGACTCGAAACGTGCACAATCATGCACATCAGCAGATCCTCTCCCGCTGCCCTGCTAAGGTTGGGTTGCTCTGCTCTTTGCTTTCTGATGCTTGGACAAGCCTGAACAAAGGGATGATGGTAGAACAACCCAAGGGAGTTACACCAGATGAGTCAAGAGCGCGAAGACAATGGAGCGCGTGGACACCGACTTCGCAGCCCTTGAAACAACACCAGGGAAACAATTCGGCATTTAAAAAAGCTATCTTGCATGCCAGGATGGGCTATCAGGCCTTGTCATCCCCACAATCCCTGATCATCAACCTATAAAGGGCCTCTTTCAGGGCTTCTAGGGTATAATACCCTAAACCCTAAACCCTAAACCATAGCCCATCCTAGTGGGTGGGAAAATGGTTGAATACGATGCAGTGCTCTGCGGCACCCGAGAGCATGGCCTGGCCATCTCTTGGCCAAGCGCGCTTCCCTTGCGGGCCCATCTTGCGCACGAGCATCCCTAAGACGGGTTTAGGGTTTAGGGTTTAGGGTTTAGGGTTTAGGGTTTAGGGTTTAGGGTTTAGGGGGCGCCACAAAATAAATCCTGCAACCCTCTGAGTGCTTGGGGAGGTGAAGAGTTATACTTTGCAAGACATGAAGAAATGCCAGCAGCTATGGCTTGGATCTCATTGGCTCAGGTGCCAGGGCCGATCAAAAATCTCCTGCACCGAGCCAACTCGGAGGGGCGGAGGGTTGAGGTGGGAAGGCCTTCTATGGATGAGAATTCACCCCTAATCCCTAATCCCTAAACCCTAAACCCTAAACCCAGTCTTCAAGACCCCTCATCATACAGATATTACACCCGAAGCTGGGATGTCGGAATATGTCGGAGAAGCCGCAAGAAACAGTGGAGGGCACTGGTTCAGAGGGCTTTGAGTGTAGGGGCAGATATTCAGGGAATTTCAAATCCAAGCTCTGAAGGTGGTTGCTCATAGAAGCAGGCTTTCGCTTGGAAGCCCGAGGGTATCGACTGTGATTGGTTGGGCTTCATGTAGGGAGCCAGGGAAACCGAGTTCGGGCGCATCTACAACAAGGACTATGGTAGTTTTGTGGGAGGGAGGGGACCCCACAGCATTGCACTTGCCAACGCCGATCATCGGCTGCTTGGGTTTTGGGGATCGGCTACGTTTCGGGCTGAGGGTTCTGCGAGTTCTGCGAGTGTGCCTTCGGCACAGCACCCCTACATGCCTGCACTTCTGAAGAGAAGAATGAAGAGAAGTTGTGCCATCCAAGAGGAGACGGGCTTTTTGACTTCTACCAGGTGGGATTCCTTGACCTCACGGCGTGCTGGAAACTTTGGCTCATGCGCTCCCCAAAGCGAAAACCCCGTTTGTAGACACATCGCAGAACGGTTTCATCAGAGCGGCAAGGGGATGGTCATGTTTTCGAACGATGGCGTCGATCATTTCTGTGAACTCCAGGAAGTAACCACAAGAAGCTGTTCATTTTGGCAAAAGGTGGCAAAAGTAGCCTTCTAGAACCGCAAACCCCGACACCCTCCCAAGCCCCAGGCAAACGTGAACAGCACGCTGCAGCCAGCATCCTGCTTTACATTTAGGGCTTCTGGTCTTGGTACACTTCTCGATTTGTGCTTTAGGGTCTAGGGGTTGAGGCTTACGTGCGAAACCCTTAACCCTAAACTTCTAAACCCTAAACGCCCAAGCCCCGAAACTGCCCCTCCCCACAAAACCCTCCGAGGCGTAGTGAAGCTCCAGGCGTGCCTCGCTGGGCAAGTCCGTGACAGACAGGGATCGGTGATGTGTTGCCGCGGCCTGGAGATGGCCCCTAAGTCAACATCCCCACGCCCTCAACCAGTCAGGCTGATCAGACGCGTCATCTACCACCCATGTTCAGGTCTGACCAACCAGTCGGTTCTAGGCGAGGGTCCTCCCCCACCTATGTACACTCCGAGCCCAAGCCTGAACTGAAACCTCAACCCAAGAATACAACTAAACCCACGCGCACACACACACAGACCCTGCCTCAACTTCCCGAAGCTCCGCATAGAAGCCATCGGCATCCCGTTGTATGCGCTTGTGCCATGGGCTGGTTTCCTGGGTTTCTTCGGCATGGGGCTGAAGCATGCTGAAGCTATGTCGGTGCCCGGCTTGCCAACGTGACTCAATCCAATCTAAGCACCGGCAGCCCAATTGGTGGAGATCAACAAAAAAAGAACGCACGCCCAGCTATATGTTGAAGTCCATAAAACTTGCAAACAAACCCAGTGCCACAAATCTCATAAACTTCCGGCACAGTGCTGTGAAGGCCAAGCGGCGTCCGAACTCAACGCGCACCCACGCTTGACATTGACCTGAGTGCCGCGTGTGCATTTGGAGATTCGTATCCTAGAAGGTAGCGGTTGGGGCAGATATATGGGCCTAAAGGTAGTCTTAGGCCCGAAGAAGCCTCAACCACCCTAACCTCAAAAAAGAGACATGAGCTTAGAACGCAGCTGAACAACCTGGATTCTCGATTGGCTACAGATGGCCACAGGATTTAAGAGCAGTCAGGGCGTAAAGGGCTTTCGACTTGCTGTTGCATCAGTGGTTAAATAATGGGGGTGTAGAATATAGGTGTATAAGTAATAATGTGCACGCGCACGCTCTGTGTGTGTGTGTGTGCGTGCGTGCGTGCGTGCGTGCGTGCGTGTTTTGCTTGTTTTGTGCTTTATATTTCTTTGTTTTGTTTTGTTGTGTGTTGCTTGTTTGTTTGCTTGCTTGCGTGGGTGTATGTGTGTGTGTGTGTCTGTTTTGTGTGTGTGTGTGTGTATATGTTTTTTTTGTCTGTGTGTGTGTGTGTGTGTGTATGTGTGTGTGTGTGTGTGTGTGTCTGTGTGTGTGTGTGTGTGTCTCTGTTTGTCTGTCTGTTTCTGTCTGTGTCTGTCTGTTTCTGTCTGTATCTGTGTGTCTGTCTGTGTCTGTCTGTGTCTGTCTGTGTCTGTCTGTGTCTGTCTGTGTCTGTCTGTGTCTGTCTGTGTCTGTCTGTGTCTGTCTGTGTCTGTCTGTGTCTGTCTGTGTCTGTCTGTGTCTGTCTCTGTCTGCCTGTGTCTGTCTGTGTCTGTCTGTGTCTGTCTCTGTCTGTCTCTGTCTGTCTCTGCCTGCCTCTGTCTGTCTCTGTCTGTCTCTGTCAGTCTGTGTCTGTCTCTGTCTCTCCGTCTCTGTGTGTCTGTGTGTGTGCTTTGTGAGTGTGTATGTGTGTGTTTGTGCTTGTGTGTGTGTGTGTGGTTGTGCTTGTGTGTGTGTGTGTGTGTGCGTAGGTGTGTGTGTGTGTGTGTGTGTGTGTGTGTGTGTGTGTGTGTGTGTGTGTGTGTGTGTGTGTGTGTGTGTGTGTGTGTGTGTGTGGTGTGTGTGTGTGTGTGTGTGTGTGTGTGTGTGTGTGTGTGTGTGTGTGTTGGTGTGTTGGTGTGTTGGTGTGTTGGTGTGTTGGTGTGTTGGTGTGTTGGTGTGTTGGTGTGTTGGTGTGTTGGTGTGTTGGTGTGTTGGTGTGTTGGTGTGTTGGTGTGTTGGTGTGTTGGTGTGTTGGTGTGTTGGTGTGTTGGTGTGTTGGTGTGTTGGTGTGTTGGTGTGTTGGTGTGTTGGTGTGTTGGTGTGCTGGTGTGCTGGTGTGATGGTGTGTTGGTGTGTTGGTGTGTTGGTGTGGTGCTGCGTGCTGGTGCTTGCGGGCGGGCATAGAAAAGCTGTAGAAAGGCCGCGTGCACTGTAGATGCGTGCTCGTGCGTCCGTGGTGTCTGTGTCGGGGGCCAGGCTTTCCGGCTGCAGGCCCAGTGGCGAGGATGTTTTTGGCGAAGGTGTTGCCCAAGAAGCGCAGTGCGCTGGAAGGGATGGGCACACCCACCTGGCGCGAAATAAACGTAAGCTGATTTCTAGATTGGCGCTTGAAAGGGTTTTTTCGATGGTGCCGGTGGTGCTGGGGGGCTTGAGGCTCCGAAGGCATCTATGGGCTAAGCGAACTGCAGAAGCCCAGGAACCCAGCCCAATTCCTCAGCAAACTCTTTTGTTGGGGGTGTAGGGGGAAGACTGCAGATTTGCATCCCCATCTTGGTTCCTCAATATCCGGCTTAGAGGCCTGAGTTTTAGCTTCGAACGGTGCAGGGGATGCATCGGAAGCCAACATGAAGCCTGAAGCTATGTACAGCGCCTATAGAGTCTAGAATCTACAGAGTCTCCAGGGCCTGCAGCATTGGCTGCGCATTCTGCCGCCGCACACGAAGCTGCTTGAGCTGCTTATGACAAATTCTTGGTGTTGCAAGTTCATCCTTTCCTCCAGCTTCTTGACCATCAGAAAACAAAAACCGAACCTGCTTTGCGAAGGGTTTCTCAAGCTCAGGAAACCCTAAACCCTAAACCCGAAAGCTCTAGAGGATCCTGAGCCACCGATACCCGAGAAGCCCCAAAAAAGGCGCCTGAACGCGCGAGACCGAAACGAGCAGCGTGCCCGTCTCGTTGCCCCCACGTGGCAGCCAGAGGTTCTGGGTGTCCACCTCGATTCCTGCAATAGGAGCCCCCTTTTCAACTTCAATAAGCTGAAGTTCACATCTCTCGAACTCATGTTTGCTAAAGTCCACTGAGTATCTTTCGAACGACAAGGAGACAGAAATCGACAGAACCAAAAGCCTCTGACAAGATTTCTGAGACGAGGCCAGGATGCGCTTGCTCCAGAATCGTCGGCGAGGGAGCTGGAAGTCTCGCCCGTCGGTTGGGAAATTCGATCCTGAGCTGACCAGACGAGATCCGAGAGCGCCCTATAAACACCTGAAACCCATATAAGCCCTCCATCAGCCAAGCCTGTAGCAAGCCCTAGAGCCCTAGAGAGCCATCAAAAAGAACCGATGAGCCCTAAGAACCCCAAACCCAAAGTAAACCACGGAGGTCCATTCTCCACTCTTTCCACCGTCTCACGTCGCTCATTGTGCAGGTCGGGCGCGTTGCTCATGTCACCGCAGGATGCTGGGTTCTCACTTCAGGAGTTACGACGCAAGCGAAGAGAAGCGATGCTTCGGCGTCGGGATGCCGAGTTGAGAGCTTCATGGACCGTTCTTGACCCCTGTAGAAGCAGTGAGCGTTTAGCAGGCAGATGCGGCAGATGGGAATCGCGAAAAGAAAGCGATGCCTTCTCGAGTCGACTTCGCAGGAACAAGTCTCGCCCCATGACGTAGGGTTAAATGACGTTAAAAGTTTAGGGTTTGAAGGGGCCTTTAAGGCTAAAGCCTGTCAAGCCGTGAAGCGAAGCACCCTACACCGGCAAGCGCCTTTGGCTTTAGCAGAAAGAACTCAGCAACAGAACAATAATTGCATTGTCTCGCTTGCCGAAACAAGGACTCACGATGTGTTTTCGCATTACGTGCCTGCCTGGAACACCACGGGATCTTGACGACCAAATAAATGCTTTCAAAGGGGCGTGCGATCTCCACCAGGTATCCGAAATCCTGCGTTATGCCCTCCGTGCCCACCTAAATCCTATACCATGCAGTAGCCCTAGGTGACAATAGGTCTGGGAGGGAGATGGGCTTCTTTCACGTCCTATGGCGCAACAGAAATGCGCCCGACCATCCTGAAGCTACTTTCACACTGCTCGCACCTGAACGACCAAACTTTAAGTGGAGCCCTTGGGATGTTTCCCCTTTTACTAACAGCTCCTTAAGCGGGATCCTTTTGCGGAGTACTATAACCCCTCTTAAGGGCGCTGTCACTATGAGGGGGACATCCCAATGGAGCCTTGCTGAGTTTCATATGTTCGGGAGACGGCTCTGCGAGGCACTCCCTCCTGTGCCGCTTTGTGGACTCCTTCGGCCCCCGGGGACCGGGGGCACTGCCCGGCAACCCCCCCCCCTCCAGGGTAAGTGCACATTTTCCACAGGCCTAAACATGTCACCACTTTCGACCCGAACTGTCAGCATCGACGTTCTTTTGGGGACTTGCACGCGAGACCGCAGAAGAACAACCTCTCAAGCAGGCCAACTAGATCGAAGAAGTTTTGCACTGCCCGACCATGCCCCCGAAACACCCAAGGCCACGTAGGGTTCTCAAAAGCATGGAACGGCACCTTGTTCGACACTCGGATCAGCTCAAAAATCGTCTCCACATAGAAAGACAAGATCCGTGCCAGGGTGCGTACCTGCTTTCATCTGCTCACTTCGGATGCCCACCCCTCCCACCAAGTTCCTACCAACTGGTGGAGTCACCTACATCCAACAAGCTGAGAAGTTCCAGCACGATCCCCAGGGCGTGTTGGGGCGTTTGGGACAGCGACCCTTGAAACGACGTCCTGAACTTCTATGATTCTATAACTAAGGCAATCCCTTTCTGGCACTCATGCCCGCAATCAGAATACCCACCAATTTTTGTATGAACTCAGTCTCTGACAGGCTTGCTTGCGAAATTTGCTCGCAAGTCAACCCGAATCTCCCAACCCCAAAGTCTAGCGGTCCCTAAAAAAGCTACCTTCCCTAAGAACCCTAGGTTCCCGAAGACATCTAGGTTTCCTCACTAGACCCAGGAGTAACCTAGGAAGTAACAAGGGTGCCCCTTTTTGGTTTAAAGGGGCTTATGAGGGAACCTGAACCCCCCAAACAAGGGAAGAAAGGCCTACTCTGGGTCCTAGCTGAATGAACGACCAACTTCCCAAAACCCTATAAACCCTAAACCCTAAACCGACCAACCCTCAGGAGCACAATGGCATGGTGTGGCTTCGGGGGGATAAGATCCCGGTGAGGCTCCACGAAAACGGGCTGGTACTTCCTTGGCTGCGCCCAGCCCTAAACCGTAGACCGGTTGGGGGTTAGGGTTTCTCTCTCTCTCTCTCTCTCTCTCTCTGCCGGTTTAGGGTTTAGGGTTTATAGGGTTTAGGGTCAGTAGCGAAGAGAACTTACCGTGTAAGACTGCGATCTTGGCGTTGAGGTGTTCTACACTCACAGCAGGGGCAGATAAGGGAACCCAAACCCTGAAAGAAGACCCTAAACCCTAGACCTCAAACCCTCTGGGTCCTAGTAGACTCTGCCCAAGGTTCAAGATCAGCTCCCGTTCGTGCCTTGGCAAGGCTTGGAAAACTCTGCGATGCAGGTTTAGGCAGTGTGTACTATAACGGTCGGCTTCGGGTCCAGAGTCTAGTTTCTTAGGATATTAGAGGCTTAAGGAGCAGCGACGCAGAAGCGATGTCTTAGTCGGAAGAGGGGCAGAAGAATTCCAAGCGCTGAGCGCAGAATAGGAAGTGTCGTTCATGATGACGGGAAGGTTAGCCCCACCCATTGCCCCAATTAGCGAACGCGTGTTGTCATGATTCGCAGTTCGCAACTGCAACTGAGAAACCATCCATCTCTTTTCGTCGTGTGCCGGAGTATAGACGGGACGAGAATGGGCCTTTCTTGATATAGGTCTTTCCTTCAAATGTCTCGCCTTGATCAATTTATCTCGGCGGGACCGAAGGGAGGAAGAGGCCCGGAGCTGTTTCCGGCAAGTGGGGGGGGAAGGGTGGTGAAGGGGGCTAGCAGCTGAAGCTTGGGAATGTGTCAGCACAGTTTGGCCTTCTCCACCCCCCCTCCCCCACAATGACCTGTTAAAGAGGCCAATGGAATCGTAGTGGCAACCAAAAAGACAGGCTAGAAAAAAGGCGTCCTTCGTCGCCTTCAAACATGTCTCTAATTAGGGCAGATTAGGGGCATCCTGGTAGCCTCAGCAGGTCAGAAGTGTGACCACAGCCGTAGCGAGGAAAGCCACCACTCCCAGCGCTTGCGAGCCGCTGGCCTCGTCCGACCCGGTGGTCGTGGGGCAGATGGACGCAATGTCCACGGAACTGCCACCTGGAGTGAACGTGTCGATCGACTTGCAGTTCGCGTAGGAGTAGTAGAGCGTCGACCCTGGAAAGTACAAGCTCGCCGCGATGTCTGACACCGAGCTGCATGTGCAAGGATTCACGTAACACCAGGGCCTGTCACACCAAGCTGCTCGGCACCCAACGCTCCACCCCTCCTCACACTGGTCTGCCCACATCTTGCCGGTGTCCTGGTCATAGCAGCTTGAGCTGAAGAGTTCTGCATGGATTCCACAGCTGCCACCATAGTTTGCAGTGAGCATGCCGCTGCTGGCATTCGCACACTTGCCAGTTCCCTGTGCGCAGGAGGCATCTGTGGAGCTCATCAAGTACATATCGGCCAAAGGGATGCACTCGCAGCCTTCCTCCAGGGCACTCGTGAATGGCCAGTTCATTGGGCTGACTGCTGGCGGCGGTGGGCTGGGACATCCCACGCTGGTTTTATTGATGGTCACGGCGGATGGGTTCTCGGTGTAGGTGTCCGTGGCACCACACACGCTGTAGCTGTAGTAGAGCTCGAGGTCGAAGTACGTCGAGCGGGTCATGTCACTGGCCGAGCATTCGCACGGGTTCACATAGGACCAAGGCTTTGTGCACCAACCTGCGCTTTCGTTTAGTGGCAGAGGATTGCCGCTTGAATCGGAGCATGATGAGGAGCCGGGCTCAAGGTGCACCCCACATCCCTCGCCGTAAGTAGGTGGATACTGAGTGGCCGTCGTGTTCGGACCTCCGGGTGTGGCCATCACGCACTTGCCCTCCTTGGCAAAGGCTGTGGTGCAGTCGACCTTGGGCTGGCCACTGGACATCTTCAAAAGGCAGGTGCCTGTTGTTACAGGCGTATAATTCGCGGCACAGCCTGCATCAACATTCAAGCTGCTGCTGCTTGAGAAGGTGTCCACCCCACCGCAATTCGAGTAGGAGTAGTAGAGCTTGGAGCCCGGAAAGTAGCTCGTAAGCGCCAGGTCGGCCACAGGACATGTGCAAGGATCCACATAACCTTGGTTAGCCCAGCAACCCCGCCATGCTGAGGGTACCCTTTTGGGGGGTTGGTTGCATTCTTTGATACGGGAAAAGAGGCACCCAGAACCCAAAAAGGACAAAAGGCTGCCATTCAGCTACCAAGTTCTACCGAGTAGCACCAAGGGTCGTTGCACCAGCCTGCCTGCTCAGATGCTGGAAGTTCCTCACCACTGGTGAGGTTGAAGCATGCGGACGCCCCAGGCTCCGACTGCTTGCCGCAGTAGTTGCCATAGCTTGCAGGGTACATGACATCGCTTCCCCCGACGCTAGCCTGAACTTTCTGCACGCCACCGACCATCTCCAGCATCTGGCCATGCGACATGCACGTGCATCCTGGTGCTGCCACACTCGAGGCCGAAGCCTTCAAAGTGCAACCAACCAGAAGGGCACCCGAAATCGCACGCTTCATCATGGCTACAGCTGCCAGCACTCGCGAAAGCCTCAGTGCTCAATAAGGCTCGAGCACAGTTGAACACAATGGCTGCAGCACACCCGCTCCTGCATGGCCTTCGCGATACTGCACCGGCCTTTGCACCTGTGAAAGAATGAAGACGCACAGCTGCACTACAAGCTATACCAAGCGATATTGCAGCATCTCTGAGGGAGTGGGAAACCTGTCATCGAAGCTGATTTGCTAGAGTATGGGCTTCTTGAGTGTCGGTTCTTGCCTGTACCTTCCATTCGGGTGTTCCCCCTTATACGAACAGTCCTTAAAGGGGATTCTAGTACCCCTGATTCTACTCCCCTATTAAGGACTGGTATCCCTAAACCTTAAACCCTAAACCCTACTGAAACCCTAAACCCTAAACCCTAAAGCCCTATTAAGGACTGTTCTAGCATGCTACATGCTCAGTCACCGACAGGGGCGCCATGCAGTGAACCAGAGGGTGGTCGATCTGGGCCACAATCTGCGCGGGCCGGCTCTGCTCTCAAGAGCCCGGCACCCCCCTAACCCTAAACCCTAAACCCTAAACCCGAAACCCTAAACCCTACAAACCCTAACCCTTAACCCTAACCCCTAAAAATTCCTGAACCCACAGGTCTGCGCATGGCCTTACGGGGGCTGAACCAAGACACCAGAAAGGCACAGGGTAGATGGTCCCAATCATACGGTGCAGGCTCAAAGTGCATTTGGTCCACAAGTCTGGGATTCGCAGCAACCTGAAGAGGAAAAACAAGACACAAGAAGTACTCGTTTTCGTCCTTGGGGGGGGGGGGGGAGGGTATGGGGAGCCGAACCCCTGACGAACTGAAGACACAAGGGTAGCCTTGGAGCTCCAAGAAGGCATGCACCAAATCTCATCGTCAAAGCCCAAGCTATGCCGAATCCCTGGAAAACTCCAAGAACCTTTAAAAGTAGTAGGGGTTTAGAGTTTGAAGCCCTTCACTCCCAAACATACTCACCCTCAACCTATCTGATACAACCTCTGCGTCCTTCCTACCCAACCGAACCTCAACACTCGCCCCTCTGTGAACCCAGGCTCTCTGAGTGAAACGCTCGATCCTGACCCTAAACCCTTTTGAGCCCAGACTCAGAGTATCAGCCGGGTTTAGGGTTTGGGGTTTAGGGTTGGGTGGCATCAGCCGACCCTCAGCCTTCAACTCCTCAAACCCCGGAGTGCAGCGCCTTGTACTCGAACCAGGATGCACCGGGCGCTGAGCGAACATAGAATTCCTAGGATCTTTTGGACTTACAGGTTTATGGCTAACGGATACCTAGGGCTGAGGGGGGATGTTTAGGGTACTTATAGGGCATGAACAAGAGATAGACTTACAGCCAAGAAAACACATGGAGATCTCAAGTTTGCCTCTTGCCTCTTTCTGTGTAGCACACGTTGGCAACCGCCCGGGTAGGGCTCAGGATTTAAGGGGTTCAGGGTAAGCGACGCTCGCCAGACATGGATAAGACCACACAGTCTGAATTGCATAGTCGAAGTGCAAGCGACCTTCGAGGGATCTTCAAAGTACATCTTTGCCGGATGTACGATTAAACGAAGGGAGGAGAAACTGACACCTACGAAGGTTCCGTTCATAGACACTGCACCTTAGCCTGAGGAATCCTAGCAGACTGAGCTGACCTCAAATTTGCAGGACCCGCATGGCGGAGCTGCTCATGCTGACCTTGCGTGCGAATCCACCTGGGAATCTTTCAGACGTTGCCCATGGAAATTCCGTGGATCATCAGGGGAGCGCGACCAGCATCCAACATCTGCGCTGGCCGGGTGAGTCAAAAGACCAGGATGGAGACAACTGCCCTGATTTGTGGGCCTCCAGTTTTACTCAAGCACCACAACCCAAAGCAAACCCCAAGCGCAACCCTACCTACACCCCTAAATCCCAAGTTCTTGAACTGATCTAAGACACCCTACTCGTCTGAGCTTTGAGCTTTCCTCAACCCCCGCAAGCCCTCCTTTGAGCCCTGCACCCTCCATGAAAAGCCCCGCCCCCTCCCCCCACCTTAAACCCTAAACCCTAAACCCGAAACCTCTTGGCCCCCACTAATTTCGACACTCAGGGGCGGCATCGGGTCGAGCCCAGACTTGCTTGAACCTGACAAGGTTTAGGGTTTAGGGTTTAGGGATTCTTTGCCCACCCGCCCAGCACTTGGGGACGACTTCAGAGGGTCTCAACAATACTCAGCCTACTGTGTCGTAGGCTAGATTCCAGATATCGAGACCACCATAACCTCCACAGCTGCAAGATTAGCTACCTGACAGCGTTTAGGGTTTAGGGTTGAGTGTTGCCGACTGTCAGACGCACTGCAGCGACTAGGGTATACCGCGGCCGGCAGGGGGGTTTGTCGAAACCCTCTACAAAAAGCCACCTCCACAGCTGACTTTTTTGGAGTTGCAATGGTTCTCAAACTTCTCAACACTGTGTAAGAATGTTTTGCATCGGGTTTGCATCTCTATCGCCGGGCTTGTGCTCAGTTAGCATTGCCATAGGCGAAACCTCACGAGACTTGCTCCAAGCCAAGCTGATGTTAACACGAACAACGGACGGCCACTTTAAAACCCATTCATGATAGTGCCTGGGTCTCTGGACTTCAAAACTAGCCCTTTGATGGTAGCAGGATACAACAAACTTTTTCAAGCCATACCCTCTCACGTGCCAGCTACAGGGGGAGATAGGTATCGACAGTGGATTCAAACCGCTCTCAACCCGAAAAAAGTACAAAGCCCCAAAATAAAAACCTGCGGCCGATGTAAACAAGCTAACGCCAAACCAGACCTCGCCCCCTGTCTGCCATAATGTCCTGTACTGAGGGCAACCGAAACAGAGCCTCGCTTTAGGTGGGGGGGGAGGGGCTCGCGTAGGTTTAGGGTCTAGAAGAAGGTTTTCGGGGATGCGGCGCATGTTTCAAGCAGCTGCTTAGCCGCTGTAACAGATTTATGAGGGTGGGCATAATCTCCGCCTGGTTGGCTGCAGTGTCGACCGTGCCGTGTCGTAAAGTGCGGACACACGCTGGACCTGGCAGCTGTGTATTGGGGCGGGTGTGCTACAGGTGTTCGCCTCTGACTAATTACCCAGCCCGAAAACCGAAAACCGAAAACCTTCAGACTTGAATGCGCTTCAAAGGAATGTGGATCCGAACAACGAAGCCCAGCCCGGCATATCCATCTCTGACCTGACACCCCAAATCTATCGAAAGCTCCACTAGTAGATCCCCAATGTAGAACGCATATCCCCCCTCCACCAGAAAGCTTCTTGCTCCCTGCACTCCTGGATCAACGGCTGATCTAGACACCAGATTGTTGTCAGTTCTCCACATTTCAGCACCTTGTGGGAAAAAATCAGGGGAGCCCTGAGCACCCCTAAACCCTAAACCCTAAACCACTGAACTGGAAACCTGTCCTACCATCTCTTAAGCCCCCCTCGCGGTTCAGTGCACCGGTTCCCGGAATCTTGGCTGCATAGGGTTTAGGGTTTAGGGTTTATAAGTTTTTTTTTTGCCACCCGCCTAGCAGACCCTCAAGGATCACTCCGCAGGGAACAGTCTGGTCCGTACATGGTTCACTTTGGCAAAAAGGGCCCCGACACAGCCCCACAACCCCAAACCCCCAATCCCTAACCACAACACCATCAGAAGCCACGCCCAGTCAGAGGGCTCGGGGATGCGGGGCTGCCTCCAGGCCTGGTACTTCGCTCCTCCCGCCCTTTCAGGTGGTTCAGGACCGGCACCAAAATTGAAACACGGTAATCAGGGCAGGCTACACCCTATTGCGTATTGCGCCCTATGGCAGTGAGACTCATCTCCCAAGGCCTCCCTACAACTAGTGAGCACGCCCCGCCCTTGAGTCACAAATACAAGTGCGGCGGGCTTGCTCACGTTCGTGCTCCCCTAGTCGTGCAGTTCAGTGCTCTGTGGATCTCGAGGGTGATTGCTCAACCGTGAACCGAAATCCAAAACCGCAGGTCAAGCCCCCAAGCCTATGACCACACAAACATTCACCCCTGGTCCCCAGTCACTTATGTTTGGTGCCCTCCACACCTGGGACTGTACATCAAGCTGGCAAAATTGGGATCGGCCCCTCTTAGCGCTCAAGCTCGCCTAACCACAACAGGGTACAACACCAATACACCCGAACAGCCATCCAGAACAGATGACACGACCTTCACGGGCCTTTCCTCTCATGTCACATGCAGTACGCAACGACGACAGGGGCGTGGCGGTCGGCAGGAAAGCTACGTGACCTCCAAAACCACACAACTGGCTAATAACCACCGGTAACAACACCCCTACGTCCAGCTTTCCTGTCCCTCTGTGCCGAAAGGTATCACGACCTAGCCCATTGTGTCTTGGGTCGAGAGAAGTCTGGGTCATTCCTCCACCTAGTAAAACCAAGTAAGGTTGGCACCAACCCACCCAAACAGCCATCCAGAACAGTTGACACAAACGTCATGGGCTTCTCTCTTTGCTGTCGTGCGTAGCGTGCAACGAATTACGACTTACGAATTATGAATTTGGTCGCGACCATCTGGGACGTATGGGGCAACACAAAAAGTCAAGACACCAGCGGTAGCATAAAGTACATAGTTACCATCAAGCCCATCCCTGTGGTCCAAAGTTGCCGCCTTGTCAGCGCGCTACTCCGTCGGGCAACTTTCTCGAACAAAAGGCCCTACACCTGGGGGGGGACCCCCATGAAAGAGCTTGGGGTCGTTCTGGATCCTCAACCTGTTCTAACCAACAGTTGAAAACAAAACACCCGAACAGCCATCCAAGAACAGGTGAACTAACTTCAGTACCGGCCCCCCAGCCTCTTGTCTGCCCGCGGTCGTTTCTGGAAGTCGTGCAGCGGGTTTACCCATTCGGTAGGAACAAACCACCCAAACATCGATCCGGAACAGTTGACACACGCACAAGTACCTTATCGCGCTGCACGTTCCTGAGGGCACCAGTGAGGGCATCACGCCAAGGCCCCTGTTCCACGAAAAAGAGGTTAATTGCATGCATGAATTACGAATTTTGGGAGCTCTTCATGCAAGGACGAATTGGGCCACTGAATTGGGCGGTTTGCCATCCCCGACATCGACTGGGGGGGACTCCGCCAGCACTCAACATGTCCCGTCAGACGCGCCAAGATTGCTCCCTCATCAAACGGAGGGTCGCCAGGAGGAGGTCGATGCGGTCGTGCGCCCTCTGGGTCTCCCGCTGGTGGCTCGTCCACAATGCTCGCACCGTGGTTTCTAAGTCTGTAGTTCGTGCCTCGATCAGCCGGAGCCTCTGCTCGAGCTCTTCCATCTCACTGGCACGCTCGGAGGGTTGTCTCAGCCGGTCAGACTCCTCGGCCAGAGCATCGTGTGTGTGTCTCAGCCATCGGTCCAGCTCATTCTCTTCGGAGTCCCGGTCCACGCGAGACGCTTCGGAGCCACTCGATCTTCCAGGCGCTTCTTCCTCGTCCATGTCAGATCGCCCGGTGCTTTGCATCTTTGGGGTGCGCAGTTCGGCTCTGAGGTCATCATCTGCTTTCTCCTCAGCACCACTTCCTGCTCCGCGATCCACAGTGTTGCTAGCCTCCCCGATGGCAGCGTCTGCATCCGTGCTCACAGCATCAGCGTCCATAGTGGCGACCGCGGCTGGCCATGGAGGAAGGTTGCACAACTGCTAAGTCGGGGGCGCTACAGGGTATACCCTCAGTCCGTACGGGCCACGGGGGGCATAGTGGGGGGGGGAGAAGGGTTGGGGTTCTCGAGAGGATGTGGGAAGCAGCAGTAGCAGAGGGCAGGCGAGAGACAGGGAGCAGACCAATGGCTGGACCGAGAGTGGAACACGTCATGGCCGGGGCGGTGTCAAGTGCTTGTATAAGTTGTAGATGTCCTAATGCTGCTGCGCCCTGTTGCGTGTGATGTGTTTGTTTGTTTGTTTTTTTTTTTTTTTGGGGGGGGGGTGATTCGGGACCTGGTCGAATTACAAATTCTGAATTATGACGGTGTGGATCACGAATTGACAGCATGCCCTCAAAGTCCTGGCCAGCCTGAGGGGACACCGCGGTCCGTCGCCTCTTCAACTTCAGACTCGGATTGTGTGGTGAGATCAATCACAGGGGAGCGGCTTCGCTTCCTCTGGTTGCCATCTTGCCGCGCTGCTGGGGGGCGGAGCAGCATGTCCAATACAGTGGGTTGGGGGTTTTTCTGGGCTGAGTGCGTCGCCGGGGGGGGATTGAGGTTCGGGGGTAGGACAAAGCCTAGTTCAAGAAGGTTGAAGCGTCGGGAGGGGTCCCATGCCGCCAAAAGTGGAGTCGTCCTCGCTACCATGATGACTCTCCGTGTGTCCGGCTTCCAGGGCATGCCTGCATGAGTCTGAGTCGTGGCATCAAAAAGCAGGGGCTCCTGGAGGGAGTAGGTCCGGCCTCTTTTTCTCCCCTAGCACGACATCACCTTGCGGGTGTTCGATCCAGAGCTCTCCTCCCTCGTTAGTGGTCAGGGAGAGCACTAGGGTGTGTGTGGGCCCGTTGTTATCACGATGAGGTCTGCTATTCCCCCCTTCGCGGAGGAGTACTGTATCAAACGTGAAACGCTCGGGACTGACATGCTTGACAAACTCAGTGAGCACGCGGGTGGTCCAGGGGAGGTTTTGGGCTGCTACGCTTAGGAGGTTTCTGGCCCTTGGGTTAACCCCAAACAGTGTGTATCTGTCTCGTTCCCCTCCTGCGGTAACGAACCTGCTGGGGACACAGTCCCATATCTCCAGGATTTCTTGTTTAGTGAAGGGGGTCACTTGGGGCCCGAGGACCTTTGTATTCCACAGGACACGAGCTCGCATCTCGCAGGCATGGGGTGATGGCATGGGGGTCGCACTGGCTACGTCAGGTGTCAGATGCCTACAGTGTTTGGGGCAGAGAGGCTACGGCGAGACAGCTACACATGGACACGAAACGAAGACACATCCTTCTCTCCACACATCCCTGGAGAGGACCATCAGCATGAGCATAAACAAGGGCAGCATCACAATCATCGTGACCACTTGTGAATGGAAGTAGCTCATTTCGAGCCAGTCCATGCAGCTGAGGAGGGTGGTTTGAGCCAGCAGTGGTGTGAGAACCACTGTAATGAGATTGCCAGCTGCGGAGGCTTTGACTCTTTCGAGCCATGTCATCCTACCCCCTAGATCTTTCACAGTCTTCGCGGCTTGGAAGGCAGACTTCGTGTCTCGCTTCGAGATCAGTTCTTTCGCCTTTCTAAGTGTTGCCTCTCGGTCAACACCTGCTTCACGACGTTGGATCATGGTGAAGAATGATCTCGAATGACGATGAAGTGCTGCTGTGTGTGCTGTGATGCCGCTCAGACTGAACCCGAACTGCTTGAGCCAAAATGGCTACAGGGTTTATAAGTTTAGGGTTTAGGGTTCGGGCCGGGCACCAGAATTTAATGCACATGGACAATGAGGCTTTGTCGCTGGTTTAAGCGCCGCTTTCTTAGAATTAAAGGACCGGATAACCCCACATGCAAAGTTTTCCATTCATAAAGAGTAGAGAAGTGATAGAGGATAAGAGAGTGAGAGAGCGAGCGAGTGAGTGCGTGGCCGTGAGTGAGTGCGTGGGTGAAGTGAAAACGAGCCCACAAAAATGTTCATGTGATGTCTGGTGCGTCAGTGAACGTGGCGTGCGCGTGGTGTGTGGTCCGTGGTGTGTGTGTGTGTGTGTGTCTGTGTGTGTGTGTGTGTGTGTCTGTGTGTGTGTGTGTGTGTCTGTGTGTGTGTGTGTGTGTCTGTGTGTGTGTGTGTGGTGTTGTGTGTGTGTGTGTGTGTGTGTGTGTGTGTTGTGTGTGTTGTGTGTGTGTGTTGTGTGTGTGTGTGTGTGTGTGTGTGTGGTCTGTGTGTGTGTGTGTGTGTGGTGTCTGTGTTGTGTGTGTGTGTGTGTGTGTCTCTGTTGTGTGTGTGTGTGTGGTGTGTGTGTCTGTGTGTGTGTGTGTGTGTGTGTGTCTGTGTGTCTGTGTGTCTGTGTGTCTGTGTGTCTGTGTGTCTGTGTGTCTGTGTGTCTGTGTGTCTCTGTGTGTCTCTGTGTGTCTCTGTGTGTTTCTGTGTCTGTGTCTGTGTCTGTGTCTGTGTCTGTGTCTGTGTCTGTGTGTGTGTGTGTGAGTGAAGTTCTGTGTGTGTGTGTGTGTGTCTGTGTGGGTCTGTGTGTCCGGGTGTCTGTGTGTGTGTGTGTCTGTTTGTGTGTGTGGTGTGTGTAAGCGTCTGTGTGTGTGTGTGTGTGTGTGTGTGTGTGTGTGTCTGTGTGGTGTGTGTAAGCGTCTGTGTGTGTGTGTGTGTCTGTGTGTGTGTGTGTCTCTGTGTGTGTGTGTGTGTCTGTGTCTGTGTGTGTGTGTGTGTGTGTCTGTGTGTCTGTGTGTGTGTGTGTGTCTGTCTGTGTGTCTGTGTGTCTCTGTGTGTCTCTGTGTGTCTGTGTGTGTCTGTGTGTGTCTGTGTGTGTGTGTGTGTCTGTCTGTGTGTCTGTCTGTGTGTCTGCGTGTCTGCGTGTCTGTGTGTCTGTGTGTCTGTGTGTCTGTGTGTCTGTGTGTGTGTGTGTATGTGTGTGTGATGTGTGATTTGTGCATGGTGTGTGGCGCGTGGTGCACGGCCGAGAGCTTCGTGAAGGTCTGGAGGCCCTCGACGTGGATCGGACCCTCTTCACCAGAGCATCTCCATGTTTCTTTGAGCTCCTCGTGAAGTTTCCAAGATCGGAAGCACTGCTCACATAGACAGCATACACGTGAAACCGAGCCTGAGTCTCATCTGCAAAGTGCACGATGTGCATGCATAGTCCAGCAACAAGCAAAGCCGCAAGCTTTTCCGCGAAGTCGCACACACGTTTCTCATTGCGGCAGCACAAACGACGCGTGTGTCGCGCCGGCCAGCGTTTCCCGCGGCCCGAGCGCGCGCGCGGCAATAAGCGCCGCGCCTGCCAGCACAAACGACGCGTGTATCGCGCCGGCCAGCGTTTCCCGCGGCCCGAGCGCGCGCGCGGCAACGGCCCAGGGCCCCTAATAAGTGCCGCGCCTGCCAGCACAAACGACACGTGCGTCGCGCCTGCCAGCGTTTCCCGCGGCCCGAGCACGCGCGCGGCAACGGCCCAGGGCCCCTAAGTGCTGCGCCTGCCAGCACAAACGACGCGTGCATCGCGCCCGCCCGCCCGCCAGCGTTTCCCGCGGCCCGAGCGCGCGCGCGGCAACGGCCCAGGGCCCCTAAGTGCCGCGCCTGCCAGCACAAACGACGCGTGTGTCGCGCCTGCCAGCGTTTCCCGCGGCCCGAGCGCGCGCGCGGCAACGGCCCAGGGCCCCTAAGTGCCAGCACAAACGACGCGTGTGTCGCGCCGGCCAGCGTTTCCCGCGGCCCGAGCGCGCGCGCGCGCGCGGCAACGGCCCAGGGCCCCTAAGTGCCCCGCCTGCCAGCACAAACGACGTGTCGCGCCTGCCAGCGTTTCCCGGGGCCCGAGCGCGCGCGCGGCAACGGCCCAGGGCCCCTTATAAGTGCCGCGCCTGCCAGCACAAACGACGCGTGTCTCGCGCCTGCCAGCGTTTCCCGGGGCCCGAGCGCGCGCGCGGCAACGGCCCAGGGCCCCTTATAAGTGCCGCGCCAGCCAGCACAAACGACACGTGCGTCGCGCTTGCCAGCGTTTCGCGAGCCCCGTGCCGGTCATGGTGCGTGATGTAGTGCGTGCTGTGGTGCGTGATGTGGTGTGCGTGATGTGGTGAGTGGATGTCGCGCCTGTCATGGTGCGTGATGTGGTGCGTGCTGTAGTGCGTGATGTGGCGCGTGATGTGGTGTGTGGTGGGTGATGTGGTGCGTGATGTGGTGCGTGGATGTAATGGGTGATGATGGTGCGTGATGTTGTCTGTTGAGTCAGGTGGTGCGTGATGTGGTGAAAGAGGAAGGAAGGAAAGAAGCAGGAAGGAAGGAAGGAAGGAGGGAGGAGGAAGAGGAGGAAGGAGAAGGAGGAGGAAGGAGCGCGGGACAGCCCCAAAAGTAAGAACCCCACACAAAGATGTGGGGAAAAAGGATTGACCCCTGGCGGTTTTAGTGCACGAGATGGTCCCTCACGCCTCAGCAAAGACGGGCGTATTGCGTAGGTCCTTGAGCTTTTGCAGCGAAAGTTTGCAGGCAAACATCCCAGACCCTAGCCGTGCTTTACGTAAAACCATGCCTAGCAAGCCACCCCTCCCCCTTTTGTGTGCCACTGGCTTGCATCCCGGTACGCCTGCAAATTGTCGCTTTTCAGGGATCTCTTCCTCAAGGGGCTCGATTCCAGCGAAAAAAAGTATCTGTAAAGGGGGAACACTTGTTCAGTACAAATCCCCTATCCCAGTTCAACTTCATTTTTGCGCGCTTGCGTTCGCTGTTGTAGGCTAGGCCCCCGGGTGAGCTCATGAGCACATCTGTTGGTCAGATGTCGCACTACTACAGGTGTTGTAGCCGTTCCTTTGCGGCCTATAGTGTAGAGGGAGCCCTCCAGTCCTCTCTTTTGCGCACACAGGAGGAAGATTTTGGGTCTATTGAAGATTATGAGGGTTTGAAGTCTGAAGCGCAACCTCGTGCTTCGACGATTTGGGGTTTGGGGCTTCAAGGGTTGAAGGTTTGTAGGGCTCACCTGTACTTAGTTTGGAGCCAAAAAGCACACGAACACGGCCCTTGAAAAACCTCATCCCCACCCGCAACGTACCCTTTTGACTAAACCCTACACCCGGTTGCATCCCTAAACCCTAAACCCTAAACCCTAAACCCCCGCTGCCACAAGCCTTATGTTAACAAAAGCCCCGGGAGTCCTTTGCAGCCTGGGCGGCCGCGTCGCCAGCGTTGGGGGCCTCCCATCTCTGGGACTTCGGGTTCGGGGTTCCCATGCCAACCAGAAATTCTTAGGGTTCAGGGTTCAGGGTTGGGTTTAGGGTTTAGGGTTTAGGGTTTAGAGGGTTTAGAGGGTTTAGAGGGTTTAGAGGGTTTAGAGGGTTTAGAGGGTTTAGAGGGTTTAGAGGGTTTAGGGTTAGGGTTTAGGGTTTAGGGTTTAGGGTTTAGGGTTTAGGGTTTAGGGTTTAGGGTTTAGGGTTTAGGGTTTAGGGTTTAGGGTTTAGGGTTTAGGGTTTAGGGTTTAGGGTTTAGGGTTTAGGGTAGAAGCAAGCACGTTACAGAGGGCTAGTGTATATAGGAGCTTTGGGATGTCATATGTAGGGAGGGGCGGGGGCATGCAAGGCTGTGTTCAAGGCAAAGCGCGAAACACGAATCCCTAAACCCCAATTTAGACCCTAAGCCTTGAGATGTTCCCCCTTATTGTAGCAGTCCTTATTAGGGATTCTATAGTACCTCCTATTACGATCCCTAGTAAGGACTGTTCGTATGAGGGGGGGAACATCCCAACCTAACCCCCAAGCCCTAAACCACAAACCCTATAAATTCAGAACCCTAAAATTCACTGCACCCTACATCCTGTTGCATCCCTACGACCCTGTAGTGTTTAGGGCTTGTAAACCCTAAACCCTAAACCCCAAAACCCTAAACCCCAAACCCTAAAATCCACAACCCCCCTCAGCCTCGAGTCGCTTCAGGGCCTTGGCCAAAACCGCCTCTGCCTCTCTTGGGGGGTTTAGAGGGCTTGGGGTTGGGGTTTAGGGTTTTTGTAGGGTTGGCAGGGTTTTTATCATACAGGGTTTGTAGGGTCTATAGGGCCTATAATGGGGTTTGTAGGGCGTTCAGGGTTGTAGTTTCATGGTCCTTTTGCTGCGTGGCACACCCACGGGTACTGACGGGAAACGTCCCGTTCGTGCCTTTTAATTTTAAAGATCAGCATAAAACATGTTGTATCCCCTAGCTCCAGATCATGCGTCAAGAATAGATAAGAAATCGACGGCAACCCTTAATTATCCATCAATCGGTCAGGTCGTTAATTTTCATGTGGACTTTCGACGCTCAGTCTCACATGCAGCAGGCAAGCAGTAGGTCACCGCTATTCACCGCTCATACGCATTGGATGCTGCGGGTGGCTTAAGGTTCAACCAGCAGAACGAAAATATACCAGTAGATAACCGACTTATCACCGAAAAGTCTGCATGATTCGCTTCGGCGCGCACTGTCACTGCTACCCCAACCGCTCCAAGATCTCACTGCGCTGAGTTTACAGCGTTGTCTTCACAAGTGCATCAACGACACCAGCCAAATTCAAAACGAGAGGGAACTGAACGGCTTTGAGAGTAAGGGCTTTCGGACCAGCGCAGCGGGGTGCGGGTGTTTTTGGGGATAGTTGGTGGTTTGCTTTGGGCTTAGGATGGGAGAACCTCCCTGCAGGGGGGCCGTAGTATCCCTGGAGCTGAGGCAGCTCGATGTCAAAGGCTACCCGGCTGCCCTCTCCACGAAATTTGGAAATGACCGCCCTACACAAACCCAGATCAAAGCGTTGCAAGGTTCAAGGGGGTTAAGCGCTTTGGGGGTTGGGTCCCTCAACCCAACCTCCAGGACGAAGTAGTCGTCCTCGGTGAACTTCCGTGCCTGGACGCCCGACATGAATGCAACGAAACACGCACGAAAGTGTGTTTAGGGGTCGAAAATAGTTACTAGTAGTCTTCCCTTATGGTCCCCATATATTCTAAGTACTAAGGCCCCTATACTAAGCGAGTTCAAGAAGGGCAACTTGAAGCCGCTGCCTCTGCAGGGGGGAAGGTGTGGCTGTAAGTCGTGAATCCCCACTTGCGAGAATCGCTTACCACGCAGCAGAACATCTCCTCTCCTCTGTTAGGGGCTAGGATTAGGGGGACCCTTAAAGGTCCTGTTTAAAAGGGCCAGAACAAGGGGGGTCCCCCTTATCCGACCTAGGATCTGCCCAAGTACTGCACATGCATGTTCATTCTGCTGCAAGCAGCACAAGTTGGCCTGAGCTTCAGCATCACGGGCGACACTGCTGAGATTCACCTGTGGTCACAAAGGCCCCACTTTACCCCACTGCAAGCCAGATGCTATACTTGCTATTTCTTAGCAGGGAATACCGGAGTTTGGTTCCCTTCTCTCCTCCTTCTGAGATTCTGTACCGGGTCCAATCAGGGACAAGACCCACATTTTGCGGTTTGCCAGTTAATTTAAGGGCCCCCCTGGGGGCGAGAAGCTTGTGTTCCCCAAAATGCCGAAACCAACCGGGCACCCTAAACCCCGCTCTTCACCCTGCGCGGCTCCACTCAAAATCCCCTAGCATGCCTTGCTTGTTGCATCCGGGGATGGTTCAGAACTTCCACCACCCTAAACCCCAAAACTAAACCCTAAACCCCCCCAAGGGTTTTTTGCCCCTAAACCTCCCAAAGGCGAGCTGCGAGCCGGTCCATGGGCAGTGAGGCGCAGGGCTCCAAATGAAGTCCTATGGGTTTTAGGGTTTATTAGGGTCTCGACTCTCACGCTGGCATAGAATTAGGGTTCAGGGCTTAGGGGCAGGGATTTGTGGCAATCAGCGCAAAGGAAGGCGGAAGAATTGGGGTTTAGGGTTTCGGGTATGTTGGGGGGTGTTTCAGGATTCGGAATGTTTTGCGGGGTGGTTTAGGATTGAGGGCGTTGGGGAGGAACGCCACTTCACATCTTCTTGAAAATTGGCTATACCACACCACTGGCAAGATTCAAGTGATACCACAATCTCGTATCGACACCCCACCAACATGGCAGTGTGCCCGGGTTTAGGGTGGGCGGACCCTAAACTCCTAATCTCAAGAACCCCCCCCCCCCTCCGTTTTGAGTTTTGGTTTTGGGGTTCAGGGTTTGGAGGAGCGCTTGTGACTTAGCGAACGAAGCTTGGACCAGGCTTGCACTTTAATCCATCGAAACCCTAACAACCCTTCACCAGCAAAGTCATCAATGCGCGGAAATACGGAAAACAAAGCCCAGCACACAGAGCTTCGAAAAGACTGAAGTGCTGCATTATGCATCCTCGGTCCCACGGCCCTTCCGCCACCAAGTGCTTTCTGCCAAGGAACTAATAATCATCCCCTATAAACAGAATTTGGGGAGTCTACTGAAGGTCTACTGAAGGTCTACTGAAGGTATATTCCTCATTCATGTGGTGTCCTCCGCCCATCGGGAAGAGATGCTGTGCCCCGCGCGCACACAAGGCGAGGCATCCGACTCCAACGCAGGCCTCGAGCAGGTCTTAGGTGACTTAGGTGGTGGGATTTCAGGCCTAACTGAATGGCTCTCTGCATAGGATAGAACGGGGTGCTTGCTTTGCGGCTGTTAGGGCCGTTAGGGCATCGGGTTCCAGATTACAAGCGTTGGCGATGGGCTTGCCGCCTTTGGGGCGGTGGTCCAGTGGCCAAGGATCCTTTAGTAGAGTTTTGGGTGTGTCGGGGTTTAGAGTTATAGTTTAGAGAGTTGGAAACTTGAATGCGCAACCCTTCAGATCGAAGGGGCCCCGACACTCCCCCCACCCCCCACCCGAATAACACGCGAGCCTTCACCCCAAATCCCACATGGGGTATGGTGGGGGTGTATGGGGGGGGTGTAAAGGGCTATACCCTATCATACCCATTAGGAAATCAACACGCTGGTTTTGGCCACCCTAAACCAGGAACCCAACTCTTACTTTGCGATCCTAACCAAAACTCTTTTTTGTAAAATCTAATCAGATTAGCAAAAACATAAAGCATGAGCATGCGAGCAGGTGACATGGGGAATCGGACCAGTTCCAAGCTACTCCTCCACCTTATGCAACTGGCTTTTGCTTCCCACCATGCACCCTCTAAGCCCTAGCCCTAGCAAGCAAGCAGCACAACACATGCTGCTAATGGCAATGAGCTTGAAAACGAAAGCACGCCACGATAAACAAATCACAACCAACATGCTGACAACAATCGCCGTCGAAGTAGCAACCCAAATCCCCGCCCCAACAAATTTAAATAGAAGACAAAGCAGGGCGGGAGAGAGAGAGAGAGGGAAAGAGTGGGTGAGAGCCAAAATCTGATCGCTACAGTTACAATAAATCATCGCGATGAGAATGAAAAAGCAAAGAGAACATCAAGAAGCCCAAGGGGGCCCCCGCCCTCGGAGCGGCTGCGCGCCGTGCCCGCTGGCCATCGGCCAGGCGCCGCGACTTCGCGGGCGCTGCCATGGCAAGGGCGACCAGGCAAGGAACCAAAACACAAAAGAGCTTTGCTTGGTTCTTAGGGCCTTGAGGCTTTTTTGAAGGGGGGGGCTCTTGCTACAGCGCAGGCTGCTTGCATGGTCTGAATCGCTCGGGGATATTCATGCTGGAATTGTGGGTTTCGGGGTGGGCTCTCTGGGATTCCGAGTGATGGGCCACATCTCCTTCGACCCTTGCCAACAGCTTGTGTTTGGGCAGGGCTCAGGGCATACGGAGAAGAACGGCCATACCTTGGTTCCAGGGCCCGGTAGAACCTCTGATCGGGTACATCACCAGCATGGGACATATTTGTGGGAAGCGCTTGAAGTCGGAGTCGCGAGCCCGAAATTCGAAGTGATGGCGGCGCATGAGTTGAAGCAAGGCTCTCCAGCAAACCGCTTTGGGCCGGGTAACCGGTATGGATATGAGAGCAAAGGCAAGGTAAGCCATGCTGGCAGCACGCCACCAAACCGACCTTCTCCCTGAAATCCCGCAAGGAACAGGGTTACCCGGATAAAGCTCCACGTGTGGGTCGAGGCGCCAAGCGGAGCGACTTGCTATACGGGGCAGGGAACCATCAACCCTAAACCCTAAACCATGGGATGTTCTACGCCATACCAGCAGTCCTTAATAGGGATTATAAGGGATACTATAACCCTAGTAAAAGGGGAACATCCCAACCTACACCCACTTATGGGGGGCTATGGCTGCTACAGGGGCTTGACAGGAGTTCTAGGGTCCTAAAGGACATATGGGATATAGGGGTAGGTACATAGGGAAGCTTCGGGGGCCTGAGGCAGCAGTGGGAATGTTGGGGTACCTTGGGTTAGATACCCGCCTTGAGAACCCCAGACAATTCATGTAAGGCACATGACACAGAAGCCAGGAGCGCCTCCGACGCCCGAATGTTGAGTATTCCGTTCCCCCCCCCATTGTTGAACTTCTTCAATACGGGGGGGGGACGGGGGGGGGGTGGATCGGGTACCTATTCGGTACAGGCGGCACGTAGAACAATCAACCTAGTCACTGAGTACCTGGCCGCAAAAGGTTAACCTTCAACTATGGTAGGGTTGTATATGCCCCGAAAGGCAAAAGGTTGTCTACTCAGCGCAGGGGATTGCTGGCCTAGGTTGGCCCTGGCTTTTGAACCCGCGAGCCCGAGGCTAGCATCACCAGAGCGGCAACACCAGCAGCAGACGCTTCGGCTAAGACCTGAGATGCGGTATAGGGTGTTCATTGCTATAAGTCTCCCCCAAAAAAATGCAGCCCGTAGATGCAATAACCTAGTAGGAGGCCTAGCTCGCAGGCAGGTACTAGGAGGACTAGGCGTGTAGTTCACCAACAACACCTTCGGCATGTCTCCAGGTGGCGACCGGGAGCTTCCCCGGGCAGCCGAGAAGAAGGGCCTGGCGACCCCCAGCCCCCCCATGCCACCCTGCACAGCTGGGGCGAACCCGAGTCACAGGGCGATTTCCGGAGCTTCGTCCGTACATACGGGCGTCTCAGCAGACAACCGCGACTTGCACACCTAAGCGAACCTAAGACCCAAGATACCCCGGTTCAGGGTTTAGGTTTAGGCTAGGGTAGCCCTACACTCTGACACTACAACATCCCCCCCCCCCACCCCCCCCAAAAAAATAATAACCAAAACAAATTGTCAAGACGGGTTCAGGGCAGAGGCCTTCGCTTCAAACCGCAACTGGTGCCTTGGATTGCCTGTTGAAGGGAACCATTAGCATGCGCAATCTTGTGAGGCTGGAATTCTAGGGGTAAGGAGAGCTTGATCAGTGATCAGTTGAGAACCCGTAGACTCTGTCATCAGGGAACCCCTTGGCCCGAAACCTCACCCTGTGTGGACTCTCTCCTCTGCTGCTGCGTCCAGCGCGGCAGCATCCGGCGCACCCCTGGCAACAAAGAGTCCCCTGTGCTTATAGGGCTTAAGGGATTTTCAGTGAGCCCTAAACATCTTTTTCATCGGGAAGATGTCCCTCCACCCTTGTAAGCCTTAAACCTGCAATACCCCTCACACAGGGCCTTGCACGGAGGTCGCCAAGCAAGCTTGCAGCCTGACATTCGAGCGACTCGTGGCAGGGAAGAGAGAGCTTCCTCACCAAAACAAAGGCCTCTGGGGGCAGGTCGAAGCACTGATGGTGGTAATGGGTCAAAGCCATAGCAATTACAAGGAGTCCTTTGCGCGCGTGCTGCTTTCACACCCGAACAAAACGCCCGGCTACCGATAGTCGGGGCGCACAAAGCCCTCGTGAAAACCCTCATAAATCGCAGAAAACTGTCGAAGAAGTTGGCCATAATCTACTCAAAGGGGGGGGGGGGGGGGGCATCTATCTAAACCCTCAACCCTCAACCAAATGCGGGCCTTGTTTTCTGAACCCCCCGCTGTGCTGCCGTCGTCGACATCTGGAACAGTGCCGGGAGGCTCGACGAGTTTAAGAAGGTCCAAAAAAACTCAGCCGTTGTCCCTAAACCCTGAACCCTAAACCCTTCTGAAACCAAACCCTAAAACCTAAACCCTAAACATCATGCCAACTCGGAGCCCCCCCTTTTCGGCACAGACTCACTGCGCTTCGCCGCACAACGGATTGCAGGGCCCCCTTTGCCTGGTAAATCTGCTCGTGCCCCTTAAGGCGACGAAAGCTCCAGCCCAGCCCCTCCTTTTAGGGTTTAGGGTTTAGGGCTTTGGGTTTCGGGCAAACCCTCGAAGGCTTTTGAAACATGAGTCCCCTATATGCCAAGAGCCAAAACCCAAACTTACCAGAGTGTCTGACCCAATGCCTATAACCAGGAGGAATGTAGGATTCCAAAAAAGACTCGGAGAGCTGCAGAGAACTTTGATGCCCCCCGACGACCAAAGAAACGATAAGTCCATGCTGGAGGCTGGAGGGGCTTGGCATCCAAACCGTCTTCGGCTCCACAGAGCTCGTAGCCTTGTCCACCCGAGGAAAGAGGGGTCGTCGCCAGAATGGCCACGCCCTTCTGGATTTTCGTTGGCCCTTGGGCCTACAAGGTGGAGAAGGCTGAGGCCTGACACTCAAACACTTCGGCGGTGCAGGGGAAGCATCTTTCTACAGCCTGCCAGTGGGGCCTGCGCTGGGAAGTAAACCCTAACTAAGCGCAGTCTCCGCCTTTTGGGAGTTTTGGGTTGCGCTTGGGTGTGTGGAGGAGTTTACGGCAAAAAAGTGTCAACCAGGTTGGGCTTATTTAGGGTTTAGTGTTTTAAGGATCTAAGGGTCGAAGGTTGATAGGCTCAGCAATTGGATCTTGTGGGTGTTCAGTCTTCAGCGCTGTTGAAGCTTCCCAAACACAAGCTACACGGGCACTTGGATCAAGGCCAAGCAAGGCCCAAAGCTTGGATGAAGATCTGAGTCATCCTTCCTGGAGCCACCGCTTTGTTGTGTGAGAGTTAGTATGCTAAAGGCCATGCAGAGTGAGTCAGAACAATCTCGGGGTTCGACCATGAACGCCAACGCTGAGTGCAGTGTCGGTGAGCCCCAGCAGCCACACTTAGCATGGCAAAACGTGTTTGCTGCCGTGCTGGCGCTGGGTGAAATACATCCGGCCAGCAGAGTCTTCTGCGGCCGTGGGCATTAGCGGTGAACTGTATTGCGTTGCAGTCATATCTCAAGCCTCTATATGGTGGGAAGTCAGGCAATGGAGTTGTAGCTACATCAAATAGTTCCACAAGGCTGATGGCAGGCTTGCAACACGGGGATCTGCCGGAGCTCAGGATGTAGGATTCTGGGCTGTGAGTAACAAAAGGTCACCAGTTGATCATAATCTGTCCCGGGCAACCTGACAGGTTCAGAAACTCAGAAACACTACTTCTCAGGCCGCATGGCTTGAGGGTGAAAGATGTATTCCGTTCTCCACCGAACCCTTGCTAGAGCTACAATAACATCAAGCTTGTGCCCCACCTGAGCATCGCTGTGTACAAGTCAGGATGTAGTGCTTCAACGTTACATCACAAGAGTCAACGGTTCGGCGGCGATGATGCAGCACGAGTCAAGAACTGCATCGTCAACAAGCGCTCACTATAATCACTCGGGCACATGCCTTGACACCCAAGCAGGCCCCTGCTGTACCAGCATCCTTCTTGTCCTTGGCTATTCATTCGGCCCCCTGTTGAAAGTACAAGTGTCCTGGGCCGCCGTAAACCACAGAAAAAAAAAAAACAAAAAAACTGAACAAATTCTCAGGCAGATAGCCATGTCACTTCTTGGCGGGGGCCTCAGAAGAACTGAGGCCCAGAAGTCTTTATGATGTCAGCTGCCGCGAAGGCGCGGACGGCACGCCACTCATCCAGCTTTCGCCAGACGTCCAGAACAGGCCCCTGGAAGAGACAGGTAATCTCAAGGGAGCAAAAACACCTTGAACCCCAAATCATCTGAACGAGACACATGAACCCTTATGGGAGTGAATTTAAAGGCAAGCCCAGGAACTTCTTGGTCTGGACACTGTCGTAGATGTCCCGGCACTCATCTGAGCCCAGGGAGAGCGCGCGAACACGCTGGGGCTTGCGCCGCTTGCCTCGAAACAAAAGCGCAAGCTTAGGGTTTAGGGTTTAGGGTTTAGGGTTTAGGGTTTAGGGTTTAGGGTTTAGGGTTTCGGGTTTAGGGTTTCGCCACCCGCACTGCAGGGTTTAGGGTTTAGGATTTAGGGTTTAGGGTTTAGGGCGCAGCCTGTCCAAGCTGACCATGAGAACACGGACAAGAAGCACTTAACCGGGTCCGCTTGGGCCCAGGCTGCCTCCCAGCGGCTCGGACTGAGAACGTCGGGCGCCTTCCTCAAAGCCTACGGATGTCGGCTAAACTGTTTAGGGTTTACGGTTTAGGGCTGCTTTCAGAAGGCCTGCGTACAGACTCAAGACCTCAATCCCACAGCCTCCATTCACCCCTACACCCCAAAGCCCAGAAACTGAATCTTTCGCAGGTTGGATGTATCGGGTTCTCGTCCTTGACGGTGCTCGATAACCTTGGCCACCCGTGAGCAAGACTCGTGTGCATAAGAGCGAGTAGCGAAAAAGCATTCCGCACCCCTAATACTGAACCCTATGAGACGCCATAGAAACAGCTTCGCTAGTGGGACACTTACAAGGGACTCCTGAACACGATCAGCGCTTGCCCCGCAGCCCATGGCTGAGAAAAGGAATCCGCGACAGCAGATGCCGTAGCTACACGCCTGGTTGAGACCAAAAATGTTCGCGCGGTTTCTGAGTGGCGGATGCGCAGGAAGTTTTTCTTGAGCAATGCTCTCGGATTTACATGGGGGTTTACGAAAATGAGGGGCGCTTAATATAGACCCCCAAATAGTCTGAACCACCCTGAATCTGCTTGCCGAATTAGAGGGAAGAACTTGCAGAAAATCCTCGAGGTCAGCGCCCTAGCACGCAGGAAGAGAGGTCCTAAACCAAAACCGATGTGTGGTGCTCGCCCCCCCTCTTCCGGTGCGTGTCCAGCAGCCTCTTTGAAGAATAACGCCTGAAACCCCCCGCAGGCCATGCTCGACCGAGGGCACCATGTTCACACTTCTCAAGTGGCCAAATTGGGGGTTTATGGGGATTTACGAAAAAAGGGGACCCCGAATATAGACCCCCAAATAGCAAGATTCCCTTATAAGAGGGACCCCAAGAAGGATAAACGCAACAATGGAACTTCCACACATCATAATACTCACATATACTTCATCTTGCTATCTCTGGAAGCGCCTTCCACAGCCTAAACCCTAAGCCCTAAGCCCTAAACCCTAAGCCCTAAACCCCGAAGGCCTTCCTCCTCCCTCCTGGCCTGGCTCCACGCAGCCCAGCGCGCGCTGGAGCCGAGCCTGCTTTCCAGCTCTGGGTTGAGGGCTTGGATGATGGGGGTGGCAGGGGGGGGCACTTAAGGGGGCTTTGATGGTTTAAGGTTTGGGAATGGCTTGGGATTTGCGGTTTAGGGTCCCCGCCTGCCACCCCCCCCCCCCCCCCCCAACAAAAAAAAAAACAAAAACAACACTTTTTGCAGCAGCGGGGCGCGCTGCACACGGCCTCTTCGCCCGGCCGAAAGCGCTGGCGCGCCGCGGCTGCTAGCAGGCCCCTTCTTCGGGACGATGTGAGGGTGGATCTACATTCTGCTGCAGTTTAGGGCTTCTTCGGGTGTTTTCGGAGTGTACGATAACCGAGATCCCGCAAAAAAGATTGAGGGCGCGAAATCTAGATGATCCCCCGGTGGGGCGTGGGCCGTTCAGGTTCGGGGTCCAACAGTAGAATCGTATACTCCGTGCGGAAAAGTCATTATAAGCTTCCAGATCGGTCTACCGGTGGACCCTCACTTGCTTGTTTAACATAGGCGCCTTCATAATTAAAATAGGCTTCGGGGTAGTTGTAGTATAATTACAATTGTAAAGGGACCATAAGGGAATACTACTAGTGATAATTATTCCGACCCCTGTAGAAGCTTCCTGGGTAAGCCCCGAATCAAGAGCGGTGCGGACGTTGCACCGTGGGACTTCCCAGAGTACTGTCCCTAAACCCTAAACCCTAAACCCTAAACCCTAAGGGCGGTCCGGCTGCAGTACAACAAAGTTTTGGAAGGTGCACAACACAAGGGGTCTTGTTGAGGGTTTGGAATGTCTAGCAGGGAGGAAGGTGTTTGGAGGGCCAATCCCTGACCTGTAGATGATCAGCTTGTTCGCGGCGCGGAGGCTCAAGCAAAGTTGTTTACACGCTCAGGTCGAGTGATGGGATGGCGAAAATTGCCATCTGAGGTTCCCCCCGAGGCCCTAAAGGTTCTAAACCCCAAGCCCTCGACGATGTTCGGGCCTTTTATTGTTATTGTTATTCTTATTCTTCTTCTTATTATTATCATTGTTTTTGGGGAGGGGGGGGTTAGGGTTGAGGCTTTGAGGTTTAGGGCGGGGCGGGGTAATCCTGACCCCCAGACACCATCGCCCCTGTCGAGTGACAGCGACTGCTCCCAGTGCTGCTCGCAGGCGGCCACCGTGGTGTCGTAAGACAAGGCATCCTTGGGGCTATGGGTTTGTAGAGTCTTTTTCATGTCGGGGTTTAGGGTTTAATTAGGGTTTAAGGTCTAGGGTTCATAGGTTTCAGCCGTTTAGCGATTGGAGCCTTGAGTCTCGGACGAGTAGGATTCTTCAATTGGTTAGGATGGTGCGGCCTGTGGGCAAAACTTTAGGGCTTAGGGTTCTGGCTTCGAAAGCGCTGGTGAACTCTAGGCATGTTGGACTGTGGCAACCCTTTTTGGTCCAGGCGTAAGAATGCCGCACCGGGTGCTGGCCTACCCCCCCCCCCCTCCCCCCCCACACCATGCCGTGCCGCAAGTGTGTGTGTGTGTGTGCGATGACCAAAAAACGAAACGCAGGTTCCAGGTGACAAACGCTGATCAAAATATTCAGACAGCTAAGCCTGGCGCCAGACGCAAGCCAGAGGAAATAACAGAGCAAAGGGAGTGTTGGAATATCGCCACGCTACACTGCTACACGGACTGCTGTCAAAAAGCGAGAGGCTGATGCTCGATGTTGTTGCGATTCTTTAAGTTCACAACCAAACGACGCCGTTCTCGGACCTGTGATTTAGTCAGGCGCAGTAATGAAGATGAGGCACAAAGTCACACCTGCAGCAGATTTGAAAGATCGGCCTGTCGGAGCCGCGAATGTCGTTTCCACAATCGGATCTTACAGCTGCGCATGAAGAAAGAAAAGCATGCGGCAACGGTATACTTCATAAAAGAAAAAATGCAACTGCGATTCCAAGTAGCAGCAGCAGCACCAACATGAACATGGCACCCAAGATACTGCAGAAAAAAGATTTAGCACATCGACTCATATGCTGCACGTGTGTTTAGCTTTAGACATTGCTTGCACGATTGTTGCACACGTACTATGGCAAGACTGTGTGCGTTTCATCCTCCCGCTTGGCACGCAGACACCAGGCTCAAAGTCTTGAGAGAAAATGGGTCCGGCCAGATTCCGAGAGCAACACAAAACTGATGCTGCTAACCAAGGCCGAGAAAACAACGAGATAGAGTAGCAGACAAATGCAATGAATAGCCTTAAGGAATGAGTCTATTTTGCTTTTTGTTCAAGGCAGGAATTGCACACGTGCACGACGTTGGCATGTACGTGCTTTATCAGTAGTTCTTGTCCGCAGTGCACAGTAAAGCGAAGTGAAATGTGATCATTTAGTTGGGTACTACTTTCTTTTGAATAGTGACCGTGCCTTTTGTTTCGGTGCTTGGCTTAACTGTCTAGATGACACTTCGGTATAAGAAAGCATCTTCCTGTCAGTCATGAATGGCTGGGCTTCCATAAACATGACCGGTGAGATTCTTCCAATCAGGCGGGTGATACGCCGAAGCTCTTGTGGTGTGTACATTCGATTGTTGCCGATCGCCAACTGTTGCAGATCCCGGAGCTCATTGTTGTTCAACCTGGTCAGCACCTCCGGTCTCAATTTGCACCATGCACTCCGGCAGAAGCTTCTGTCGTCGCAGCTCTCCGAGGCAGAGCTCTTTCAGTTTTCCTGCCGTTTGCACCTCCGTGGAGCTGATGAAGCTCTGAGAGCGCGCACAGGAAGCCCTGGACTCGGCAAAAGTGGGTGCGTTGCAGCTCGTACTTGCTCGCCAGGATTGCCTTCTTCTGAGCCTGCTCTCGCTGCGCACGCGCTAGCAGTTCCCGGTGCTTGTAAGGAGGGTACACGCTCGCGCTGATGGCATCCTTCGCGTAGGGCACCAGCTCTTCACAGGCCATGGCACCGGAGGACAAAACTAATAAAAATGTTCGAGCCAGCAAGACGCTGCCAAACACATCCATGAACAGGGTTCGGTATTGTGAATCCATTCAATCATCCCTCGTCAATGCTTCTAGCTGGATTTACCTTATCCTAAGAGCCTTGGAAGCAAGCTACCCATGGCGGGCAAGTGGCAGCTAAAACAAGAAACAGTTTCTAGCAAGTGTACTACAGACTTTCTTTTTATGCACAAAATCGGGCGCACACGCTGCTAGCCCTGTCAATCTAACTGAAAAGTCTATTAAAAACGGCGGCGCTGGTGCAGGAAATGCGCTGCACAGCACCCGCTCAGATCTGCCCTCTCTTCTCCCAAGAAGACAATGTAGCCGTCTTCCTCCGCAAGCATCGACACTAGCGCATAGACGTCGAGCGCTTGGCCGAAGCAACCGTCCCCGTCCGGGACGGAGCAGGGGACCAGAGCGCGCGTCCACGGCACCGTCGACGTCCGCGTCAGCGGAGCTCTGAGCATGCAGGGCATGCACGGGGGCGCGACGATCGGTCGTCCGGAGCGAGCCTTTGCTGTGGCGAGGGTAGTATTCCCCTCCACCGCGCGCCCGGGAAGATCGGCCGAGGGGCGCAGCACCGCGGGCAGCCGCAAAACCGCTTCGGCCGGATCGGCAGCATTGCATCCTTCCGGAGACTGCGTTGTCCACAGAGGCTCGACTTGGTGGCTTGCGTAAACGACAAGCACGAAGCTCTTACGGAACTCGCGCCAAGGCTTGGAAGGCGTGCGCCTTCTGCACGGCCGCAGCCCCCCACCGCGGATGGCTCTCGGTCCCGTCGGCGAGCTCGACGCGCGGGCTCCCCCACGTCACGAGGGTCACGCGGTGGGGCGGCAGCTCCAGGCGCTCGCGCAGGCACTTGGCGGCCGAATATGCGTCGACATTTTCTATCATCAACGCACCGGCTCGCCGCAGCTGATCGGCGTTTGCCTGGAGCGCCTCGTGCGCCGCGGCCGCCTCGTCCGCGAGTTCTGCGGCGTGAGGCGCCTCTGCTTCTTCGCACGCGGCGGCAGACCGCGCGAGGGTTTCATCGTGATCCACGGGGCGCGGCCATCGATATTCGGTGATCAGCCACCGCGACAATAGCAGAGGAGGTTCTCTGGCATCGTCGTCATCGCCCTTGACGGCGGTCCGTCTGCGTTTTGCTTGCCAGAAATTTAAAACAGCAGCAGCGGAACCGCGGCAGTCAGAAGCCGTCGCATCAGTCGATGCGCCAACAGACGCATGATTGCCATGATTGCAGTGGTCTTCTGCATCATAATGGATATGTGCCTCTAATCGCTTGGGCAGCAAAAGCTGCGGGGGGAACAAGAGAGATGGCTCGCGCTTTGCAAAACAGCCTTAGCAGACCATACAGATTTCCATGCAAAATTATGTTCAGGAGCCGCAAAATGCAATTGGTCGGAAGACGCAGGGTCCGAAAGCCGCTATCTAATGTCCATGCAGGAGCTCTATGCCTCTTATCGTTAGCATACGTAGAATACAGCATCCAAAGTTTCACAAGCAGAAATGACTCGCGGCCGTCTACGATTTTTCACGGGATTGACTTGCAAGCATCTCTGTACCATTGCATTGCGTATAATACTAACTTATACTTCATCATTTTCAGACACCCTCTCACTCCTCCACGGCCTCTTCGCAGGCTGCGTGCAGCAGCTGCCAAGTGATAGCCGCCGAAGGGTCTGGAAGCTGCACCAGGTCTTGGCGCGCGCTGTCAGACCGGCAACTGCGCAACTCATCACACTATACGCTCGCACAGACGAGTTGCAGCCAAGTCGCAGCTCAGCAGGTGAAGGGCGTGCAGGAATGTTTGGGCATCCTCCAAGCATAGCCCCGCCACAAGGTCCGTCGCCGGTGCCTCCTTGTCCATGCGCACCAGGGCCTGTGCGACTTCAACCCCAATTCGGGTATAGATAACAACAGGTTTGTGTTCCCGCCACAGTATTTTTCAGAAACCTCTCACGCAGCTAAGGTACACACTCCACCAGTCGGCGAGCGTGCTGGTGGTCGACGAGTGGCGCAAGACATCCGGCACCAGGAGCCTCGCCGCCCTTGCCATGTTTTTAGCACCGGCTTGGGCACACGATGGCTCCCGACGGTAGCGCTCATGCAGCGGATTTCGCCTGGAACAAGCTGCGGTGATGGTGGTGACGCTGCCCAAACAGAGTCGTCAATTAAGGCCAGGACTCCACCTTTGTCATTGCCAAAATGTTTCGAAACTCTTGCAGCAGGCGGAGGTCCTGCTCCTGCAGTGGCGCTCGAGCTCTCTCGCTCTTCTTCTCTCTCTTACTCTCTCCGCCCGCCTCATGCCTATGCTTCCAGCGCCCGGTAATGAATGTAAGTGAGCCATACAACCACCGCACGGCCGTCAGGCGCTGCTGGGCATCGTGGGCCTGCCGGTGCGACAACGTACGTATACATGCACACACCTCCCTGCTGCCCGTTTCGCTCTCTCTCTCTCTCTCTCTCTCTCTCTCTCTCTCTCTCTCTCTCTCTCTCTCTCTCTCTCTCTCTCTTTTGTCTATCTTTCTACCGTCCCCATCTTTCCCGGCCTCGGCCCACGCCTGGAGCTCCTTAATGCCGCTGCCAGGGTGCGGCGCTACCGGCAGACCACATGGTAGGCTCTGGAAGTACGGGGTGTAGGTCATCGTTGCGGAGGTCATGTCGGTGTGGCAGCAGCGGGAAGATGGCGAATTGGGTCAACGGACGGCTAGAGCCACGACGATCGCAATCAGTGATGCGTGGGGAATGCAATGGAAGCGACAGACTGCGATCACGCTCTTCTTATTCTACTGCTTCTTCTGCTGCTTCGTGGGCACATGCGCGACTAAAAGGTGAACTCCGCTACTGTTATCTGCTACTCAAAACACATTACTACTCAAAGCACTTGTTTTTTCATCCAAACGCTGCCTGTCACTTCTCCCGAAGGCCCCCGAAGGCCCCTTAAGGCTCCTTAAGGTCTCTAAGGCCTCTCAAGGCCCCTACGGTCTCTTAAGGTCCCTAAAGCCCCCTTGCAGCCCCTTGAGCCCCCTAAGGCCCTTTCGTGGTCGTGCCATTTGGTAGCCTGTAGATAAGCCAGCCTCTGTAGCTTGTTATAGAAACTCTAACTTCAAGGTCGCGACTTGGGCATGGTTCCGCGAAGGACGCTAAAAAAAAACAACTTTGAAAAAATATATGGCTGTAGAAGGCACATGCAGTCACGTGCTGTTGCAACTTCTTTCAATAGGTATTTGGAGTGCAATGCTTCAATTTGCATTTCAAACCCCACTCAATGTGATGAACCTGGCGTGGAGCGAAAACAATGCTACTACTGAAAGACACACCTGTATCTTTTGAAGTTTTATGATGTCACAGGAGCCATGCGTTCAGTGCTTTCCAAAAGGAAGAAATCTAGCGTATTGTTGTAGAGGGAGTCCAGGCAATCTCACGTGCCTGCGGGCCTTTGGGGGTTTACTTTTGTTTGCCACCCGCCAAGCAAACCAGCCACAGTGCAGGGGAACAACTTCGACGTTTAGTTCGCGTTTAGGGTTTACAAGGTTACAGCTATCAACAAAGGGGCCCCTATTTCCCAGACCCAACCTTTATGAACCCATACCGAACTAAACAGCACAATTCCAAGGATCAAAGCTACAGGCCAAATCCACAAAAACATCCTCGATCCCTACACCCGAAACCCCCATCTCAAGCCCACGATCCCTCAACTGCCCTAGAAGACTCTGGGCGGGTGGCCACCTCGATGCCCTGGGTTACAAGCACCTGGCAGGGCTCCGTAGGGGTTTTGGGGCTTTAGGTTTCTAGGGTTCATACACGGACTATAGGTTTGTCGGGTTTTCTCGGTATTTTTGGATTTATGGTCTAGGGTTGAAGGTTCAGGGTTTAGAGGGCCCACGCCTATTCTTGTTGCTTTAAGATATTCAGGGCTGAGAGGTAAAGATAGGCCCCTCAAGTCGAGATCAAGATTGGCTTTGGGGATCGAGGGAACTGGCCTCATGGACACAGCCTTGGTTTGGGGGCTATGGGGTGATACCTTACGTAGTTCGGGCTTCTCGCTGCGTATTCAGCCCGATAAGGCAATAGGAGCATTGCTGGGCCCTGAAATGTTGAAGCTGCATTACACCGGAGCCACTTCTGATTCATGGCGTGGCGAGGGACGAGGGACAGCCTGCAGCATGTAGGCTCGTAACGGCCGCAATACCGCCTGCCTGAAAAGAGAATATGCCCGTGACGCGTGACTCTATACCAAGATTGCACAACTAAGGCACTGCTGCTATCATGATTTCTGTGGTCTTTTGTAAGTCGAAGCCCGAGATTCCCCCGCTTCCGGTGGCGGATAATTCTGCCTCCATTGCTCGCATCCAGCGTAGCGCCCGGGCGGTCGCGGAGAGCACGGCATTCACGACGATGGACGGTGCCCTGTGCATCCATGCTTGCATGGGACAACCAGACAAGCATACTGCCCAACTCACAAGGGGTCTCTTCGTCTTCGACCCATGTGGCGGAAAGAGTTGGGGATTTGGCTTGGAGGCTCATGGGGTTGAATGTTTGCTTAACCGACAAGCCGAGTTCAAGCGCCTGAAACAGCAAGTGGCAGCAAGCTTGGTGGCCTCTCTGTCATAGACCACAAGAGCCAAAGAGCTGAGGACCAGTCATAGCCTGTCCGTGGACATGGCTTGTCCACCTGCATATGAAACCCAGAAAGTCCACACCCTGTGCCGGGTTCGGCTAAGCCGAAGATCGGACAGCAGGATCCATGGTGGACAAGGCAGCTCCATTATGATATCTAACTGGAGTGTTACAAGTTGCACAGGTAGTAAGAAGATGCTCGCTGCTGATGTTTTGGGGCTACGGAGTTCCCCTAAGCCTCAGTCAACATCCCACCCTGCGAAAGGAGACTCCTCGTCTTCAGCGCACATGATAACACCCTCGCTATCCCGGACTTTCCCAGCTTGCTGGGCCGCTGTTGGCGCCCTAGGGTTTTTTTTTGCCACCCGCTTAGCTGACCTCTCGGACACTCTGCGCCCTGGGGTTTAGGGTTTAGGGTTTGGGATTTAGGGTTTAGGGTAACCCGAAACCTAGACCGTAAATGACCGGCACTAGAAACGCCTGTGGGCATTTGGCTTGGCCTTGTGCACAAGCAGCTGCCGCCGTGCCGCGGCCAAACGTGTCTCCGAGGTCCACGAGGGACAAACACCTTGTGGGAGCCCATGACCCCAAACCCTCCGAGTTTAGGGTTTACACGAGACCCCCCCGGCCCCCCCATAACTCCTACCCCAAACAGGCTGAAAGATGATAAGGTGTTAGAAACGCTCTGCGACCTGGCCCAGTTGGAGCTCCTGCAGCCCGTCGCAGCTGCGTTGGCCTCCCGGCTTGACACCAACAGCAAAGCAGCTTTCGCATGTGTGATTTGCGGATGTTCGGGGTTGCGTGGGTTTTGGCTATCATAGTCCTCAAAAGACATCGGCCACCAAGCGTAACCGCGCGCAAACATCCCGAATATACCAGATGAGCAGCACCCTATTCAGCCATATAATGATAATGACACTCTATAAGCCCCATAAGACCATCCTAAGTGGTAAGCCCAAGAACTTGGAGCATCCAGCAAGCATCACCCCTGGTGACCTAGTGCCGCACAGTGCTGCTAGCGGCCAGGTGGAGGCGTTGGGGCGGAACACTTCTGCATGCATTTTTTGCCCCCCTACAAAAAGAGCCCTTCAGCGGGTAAGGCTTTATAAGCCTTCAAATTTGTGCTGTGCATAGCCTTGGCTTTGGGGCTTTGGGGTTGCTAGGTTACATCAGATTGGAGGATGGCTGAAACATGCTGAAACCGAAGCGAAGCGTGCACCTCTTCTGCGTACTTTGGTTCTTGACAATAGACTGAGCGTACAGCCGCGGCAGGAAATGTGGACGTCTTTTCAATGGTCTTCGAAGCCTGCGAACGCTCTCAGGATCTACAGTGCCGACCTCGTCGGGAGGCCGAGAAAAGCACAAGTGTGGGATTGAAGTGATTCCTTGTCGCTTTGCGACGGATCTGGTTCAATCAGCGAACGCACACGCTCCAGCCTGGCGAGTGCGACTCACACCCTGGTAGCAAGTTAGCTATAGGACCTACTGGGCTGTGCTGGGCTATGGTAGATGTCGGAATGCCGGGGCTGTAAGGGTGTGTGGGAGGCACAGGCTGGGCAATCATGTCCTTTGACTCAGTACTCGGACTGCTCAGGCAAGACCGCGACTGCCTGCTGGAGAGTCTTGAGTGTCTCCTCGAAGGTCATAGGGACCGGTGCATCGTCGATGTGGGTCACTTTCCAGCCGATCTTGACCTCCTTCTTCTCACCCAGCTTTCCGGGCTTCAAGCGCTTGCACGTGAGTGGGAGGCTTCGGCTGAAGTCGATCCCCAGCGGCTTGCTTTCAAACTCGATATCCTGAGTGCCACCGTCTGGGAGCGAGAAGCGAAGAACCACGCATTTCGGCTTCGGCTCCTTGATCTCCGTCTTCAACTCGGTCTTCTCGGGCACCGCCTGGGCGGGCTCGGCGGGTGGCGGGCTGGTGGTGGTCGCAACCGTCACTTCTGGCTTCTCCGTGGAGGTGCTCGATGCACAGCACGTCGCTCCGGCGTTGCCCATGATGAGCAGCTACGATGTACCTACACTCACTGTATGAGCTTGAAATCAAATCTGGCTGAACACCGTCATTCGCCATCATGGTGATACTCCCTCAAGCTCCGCCTTCTGCCCCTGCGCGCTTAGGTTTCGAAGCCCCCTAAACAACCCTTTGTACGACAAACTCATTCCACGACCCATAGACCCGTCCCGTGAGCTGAGCAAAATCAAGAAAGAATCTACTCCAGGGGCCGTGTTTTTTCAGCCTTTTTCTTTTTTTTTTTGGGGGCGGGGATTATAGTACAACTATATAGGGGCCATGGGAGAGTACGATTAGAAATGCTTCCAACCCCGGCAAGCTCTCGGGCAGAACGCTTCTGCAGGGACTGCGGGCGCAGGCGCTCAAGCGCAAGGCCTTATAACATAGAGCTAGGGGGTAGTTGACAGGGTGGGTTACTTGAGATTCGAATCGGATGGCTGAGGCTATAATTACTCATGCCATGACGGTCAGCAACAAGCGAAGTGCCCGCTACGACCTAGTTACCAATCGCATCGAGGAAACAGGCTCGTCAAGACAAGCTGACACCCACAAAAACACACGTAAGTGTATATCCTGCATGACCTGATCTTGCTTCTCCGGACAAAGCAACGTGCAGGTGCCTTTTCGTGCTTCTGACTGGCCCTAAAGGCTTTCCGACAAACAGTGCTGCTCGACCTTGTTGAGAGGTCGAGGACAGACAAGGTGATTCCATCGCTTTGCGACGGCTCTGGTTCAAGCTGCGAACAGACCCCAGCCTGGCGATTTGGACACCCCTTTCACAGCAACTGAGCGCAACTCAGCTCGGATTTGCGAGGCTATGCTATTCGGGCCTCTATGAACAAGCTCTGGTGGGGCTCTTTGTTTGGGAAAGGCGAGTGGCTAGTTTGAGTTCACAACGTTAGTATGCTGGAGCTTGTGAAGGGTCTCAGGGGCACAGGCTGGACACTTATGTCCATCTCAGTCGTACTCAAGACACAGGATGACTCAGGATGACTCAGGCAAGACCGCGACTGCCTGCTGGAGAGTCTTGAGTGTCTCCTCGAAGGTCATAGGGACCGGTGCATCGTCGATGTGGGTCACTTTCCAGCCGATCTTGACCTCCTTCTTCTCACCCAGCTTTCCGGGCTTCAAGCGCTTGCACGTGAGTGGGAGGCTTCGGCTGAAGTCGATCCCCAGCGGCTTGCTTTCAAACTCGATATCCTGAGTGCCACCGTCTGGGAGCGAGAAGCGAAGAACCACGCATTTCGGCTTCGGCTCCTTGATCTCCGTCTTCAACTCGGTCTTCTCGGGCTCCGCCTGGGCGGGCTCGGCGGGTGGCGGGCTGGTGGTGGTCGCAACCGTCACTTCTGGCTTCTCTGTGGAGGTGCTCGATGCACAGCACGTCGCTCCGGCGTTGCCCATGGCGCTGAGCGTAATGAGATGCGATGCGCTGGATACTGGCGCCTCACTGAGAAAATCTAGCTATAGGATTGAGCCGTATATGGCCATCCAGAGGCTTAAGGTTTCAAGGCTCTGCATGATCTGCTGCAACCTGGCCTAGACTCAGGCTTCAAGGCTTCAAGAATCGCCACAGGGTCCCCGAACCACAGCGCCTGCTCAATGGATCTTTCCAGGCGAAGCAAAGGCATCGAGTGCAGCATGCCTCACGACCGAAAAAAACCTTGTAGCATGATACGGCCCCTGTTTGCCTTGTGGAAACTTTGGGTTTTAGTTTAGTCTAGGAAGGTCGGTTCGGGGCTTAGTGGAAGGGGTTGTGACTTTGGGGTGGGTTCGGGTAGGTGGTCGGCCCGGGCGTCGGATCGAGAGGAGGCTTTGCGTGGTTCTGTGAGGGCCTGAGGGTGTCGAGCCGGGTAGCCGGGTAGCATTTCACAACCATCGAAACCCCTCTTCACAGGAACCCTCTTTTCGCGTGCTCAACAGGCCCTCCAAAGTGTAAACCTAATTTCGGGACCCCGCCCTCCCGCACCCCCCCCCCCCCCCCCCCCCCCCCCCGCACCTAGACTGCGCTGCCAAGCCCGGCCAACCGCAAGCGCCGATGTGGCGGAGATTTGACCGCGGCCGTGGGGCCGCAGGGCCCAGGACACCAGGGCCTGAGCAAGACAACTTCAAGGGGTTCTTGCACAGGTCCTTCAAAGGTTTCGAGTTCAGGGTTGATTTGGAGAAGTAGCATAACTGATGGTCGGTTTAGGGTTTAGGGTTTAGGGTTGAGGGTTGAGGGTTTAGGGTTTAGGGTTTAGGGTTTAGGGTTGAGGGTTTAGGGTTTAGGGCTGTCCCACAGGAGCCCCAAGTCCCCAACCTTCCTTTTCTTGCCACAAGCCCGCGCTCCCAACTCCCACACCAAGGAGCCCGTAGCAAACGAAGGCAGAGCCGCCATCCCTGTCCAGGGTTTCGGGTTTAGGGTTTAGGGTTTGGGGTTTAGGGTTTAGGGTTTGGGGTTTAGGGTTTCGGGTTTAGGGTTTGGGGTTGAGGGTCCACATGACCCCCCGATGCAACGGTGTGGGGCTGAGTTTTCGGTTTCTATAGACAGCCTTTTTCAGGAGGGAACGAGGGATCCCACAATCTTGTTTCAATTTTGTTTTGGGGTGGGTGGGTGGGTGGGGTGGGGGTCTTAGCTTGGGGGGTTCAAGATTGAGTCATTTTGGGATCTTACGCAGAGAGAACAGTGAACAAGGGCGCGAATATCAGCCACAAAGTTTGTTTCACAAACGCTTTCCATTAGGTTGCTCTGAAGAATGCTATGTTTGGTCTGGTTGGGGATAAACGAACAACGGGTATGCCGATTCAGAATTTTCCACAACAAGTCCCCAAGCAGAAGGCATGACATTGAAATGAAACTAAACCCCAGCCCTAATCCCTAAACCCTAAATCCTGAACGCCAGAAGAAGCAACCCCGCCCAGGGCTCTTCTCAACGGAGAGACAATGCGACAGAGCTTGGCTTCTGCAAACTCGAGGACCCCCCTCCAGTTAAGCTCAACAAAGAACAGCCATAACCGTCCTTGGGAAGCTGTTTACCAGCATGTTGACTTCATGGTAAGGGGTATATTTTCTTGGTAGCACAGCAAGCATTTTTTTTTTCAGGGAACCCTTTTTGGGTTGGTTACTTTACAAGTGAGCCTTGAACCGAGAAAAAGGAAAAGGGTACCACTGGGCTACTGAGATCTTTACAAGGGAACCTTGAACCGAAAAAAGGGAAAAGGGTACCACTGGGCTACTAAGATTCCTGACTTCTAAACTCTCCCTGAACTCTAAACCCTAAAACCCTAAACCCATCGAGTCGGTCCTGCTGTGTCTCCCCGCCATCCATGGCTGCGGAGACGGCCTGCGCCCGGGAGGAGGGCTTACCTCTACAACGACAGACCCCCATACCACCCGACATGACCCGATATTTAAGCCTTTTACACCCTTTGTAGCTTGCAAAGCTCATTAGCCCCTGGACACTCTGAAGCCTAAATCTTCATGGCCCACCTCGGGGTTGGGGGAAAGCCCACGAGATCGGAGCCCGGCCAGAAGGGACCCGGCTGCCTCGAGTTGGGTGCCGGGCTTTCGGGTTTCAGGGGCCCAGGCCGAGGGTTTGGCCCGAGGGTTTGGTCCGGCCTTGTCGCAGTCCGTGTACTGGTTCAGCTTCCAAGATTCCAAGGGGGTTGCTTTCGGGTTAGGACGTAGGGCTCTTTGGTGTCATATGCAAGGGTTGCTGCGAGCACAATGCCAAAAAGAAGTTCACGAGGCTTCTGGAGCTTCTGGTGCTTAAATTCTTGAGGAACTCATGATAGACTAGGGGGTCTGGGGCAGACCACAGTGACGAAGGCATATGCCTCGCAAAAACTCCACTCACATCCCATGGAACCTTAAATGCTAGCTACCAGGCAGTGCGAGACAGCCAACAGAACCCAAAGAGTCTTCGCAGACCTCGCCTGCCAATGACCGAAACGACTTTGGCCGGCAATGACAGCTCCGGCTGCGACGACGTCCTTGTCTTTCGGGCTGGGAGGGTGCGGAAAGGTGGTCAAGAACCTTAAGAGCTTTAGGTTGAAAAGTCTGCGACGCCTTGCATTCAGTGTTCCAAACCATGCAAGCCTTAAGCCTCTTCCATCAACCCTCAACGTGCCACGCATCCACACGCTGGCTGGATGACTGCAAGGAGGCCAACATGGATGCAGCGCGCGACCACGCATAGCCTTCGCAACACGACCAGGCCCCACACCCCCAGTTCCATCTGCGTTCTGCAACCCCCTCTAACTTTTGGTTGAAGACAGATGGAAGATCATCCTTTTCTAAAAGTACATGTGTCTCTGTATGTGTGTATGTGTGTGTGTGTGTGTGTCTCGTTTACCTCCCCCAACTACAGGTTCATGGCAAGGGTGACCCCAAATACACTGACCAGTTAGTGCTACCCTATTTATTCCAGATACAACCACCCATGAAACTCCAAGATCAGAACAGCTTCAGAGCTCAAATTCGAACTATCTTTCTCGCAAAAAACAAGCTCGACATCCCTCGTTTCTATTATGTTTGCTGCAACAGATATCAAAACTGACAATACCTCAACATACGAGGGACAGCACGGGACAGCACTAGCACTACTGGAGCGGCAACAACTTGGTGTAGTTCTCTACATCAGGGCCCCCTTGGGGTCCTCATCTTAGGGGTGCCGTACTATAATAGTGGGACCCTTCCAAAGGGACCCTATAAATCCCTTTTTTGCCACTGGACTGAAGGCAAGCCAGACTCCCCTATAAACCCCATACCCTAAACCTTAAAACCTAAACCCTAGACCCTAAACCTTAAACCCTAAACCCAAAACCCTAAACCCTATGCGGAGATGTAAAGGGATGTTGGGTCACTTCATAAGCCCCGCATTCTGACGACATACACGAGCCTCGGCTCAGCACCGCACAGGCACCGGATCCCAGCACTACCTCGGGCAGCCACGCGGACGGCAAGCTCAGTTCCCCAAAATCGGGCACCTGAACTCCTGCTGCGGTTTCGGGTTTAGGGTTTTTTAGGGTTTTAGGGTTTTTGAGTTTAGGGTTTTTAGGGTCTTAGGGTCTTAAGGTTTTAGGGTTCCTCTTGAGCATTATGGTCTTAAGAACCTATGGAGATCGAGAGCCTAAGGCCCGATCAGAACCCGACCGGTCGTGCTTGAAGGCCCCCCTGGAACTTGCTGTCTCAGGTTTCAGGCTCCGACACTTTTAAGCATCCCTTAGCCCCAAACCCTAAACCCTAAACCCTAAACCCTAAACCCTAAACCCTAAACCCTAAACCCTAAACCCTAAACCCTAAACCCTAACCCAAGGTCTCAGAAGTCGCCCAGGCGCGTTCGACTGAATCCCGCAAAGGGTCGCCTCTGATACCGCTGCGGTGGCCCAGGCCCAGATGTGGGTGGCCTTGACTAGGGCCTCGGACTTGTGAGGGTTTAGGGTTTAGGGTTTAGGGTTTAGGGTTTAGGGTTTAGGGTTGAGCTGCTGTTCTTTTTTTTGTCGCAGCCCGTCGAGCACTGGTTTGCGTATGTGATTAGAGCTCCACTGAGTTCACCAGCTCCTCTCATGTTGGGCACAGATTGAGGAGCCAAGTAAATATATGGAAGATTCGCCTTGAGAACGCCAAAAAACCCTTCCATTCGGGCCCCCATTCAAAGGAGCCCGACCATGAAGGATTCATACACGGTGACCAGGACCATAATTAGGAATACACACAAAGAGATATCTAAATAAGTAAATATACATGTTTATCCTTCACCATCTCTCATTTCTGCCCATGGATTCGAGCAAAAGCTGAGTAGACTGTAGCGGTCATGGGGAGAAGAGGAAGTTTGGGAGTGCGTAATTTGTTTTTGATTGTTTTGCCCCATGTCTGTGTGGTACGAGGCGGAGCAATCTGGACTTCCCCAGTTTCGGGAATACGACTACTTGGCTGAGAGGAGCTGGCAGCACGCGACGGTGGTTGGCGCAATAGCAGCTATTCCTGATACAAAGTGTGTCTGCGCCAAGACCACATGATGACCATCGCGCGCTGACATGCATCCAGTTGCTTTGCATCACTGGCAACAACAACTTGAGTCCGGGTCTGACAGTTCCTGTGCTTATTTTGTCAAAGGTGCCAAAACAGAGTGCCAGACCGAGTGTGTAAAGGCAGGAACGTTGAAACCTGCCCCGCCACTTTCCTCGACCCGGTCGAATTTAGAAAGTTCGTCGCCTCAGGACTATAGGCTCAAGTGGAAGCGCTCCGCTTCCGATGCGGACGGCTGTCCGAACACAGGCTTCACGCTAGATCTGCCCGAACGCTTCCAGAATGCCAACACAACGAAGGGATAGCTCAGATAGCCCAAAGCCCTATATCCCATATATATATATATGTATATATATATATATATATATGTGTGTGTGTGTGTGCGTGTGTGTGTGCACATGTAAAATACTACAATATTGTATAATGGAATATATATATATATACACACATACATACATACATACATACATACATACATACATACATACATACATACATACATACATACATACATACATACATACATACATACATACATACATACATACATATATATATTATCGATATACACAGCTATCTCTAACACCGAAGCCGATTGAAAGACCAGCAGGCGCCCTCCGAAACCCAAGAACCTTCCAAAGCCCCACTAAAAAGTCCCCAAACACGAGCCAAAACGCTGTCAACAACTTATAAACACGAAATGCATGAACCCTCGACGGAGTTCAGGCCGAGATGCGCTGAAGGACGTGGCGTCTGACCGGACTTGCCGGTGCTGAAAGTGGCCTCAGGACCAGAAAGTTACGAAGGGGGCTTCGAGATTTTCGGGTGCTATGCTTGCAAAGGGTTGGAGCTCCGCGTCTGCCCATGCTGTTGGGATTCCATGAAGTTGGACCTGCACTCGCATTTTGGGTGCCCAAGAAGCCCCGGGCGCCTTGCAGCCCTTTCGCAACCGCAGCCCTTGCTGCCCAGCACTGCAGCACTCATGACTGCAAGGCGAGATTTGCTACTTCGAAGCGCAGCGGCCAGGCTACACTGGGGCACAGGGCTGGCCGCCTGGCGCCCCGCCGACATTTAGCATTCCCGGCTGCACTTGACCTTTCCATTACGGCACCTCAGCGACCGAAAACCTTGGCGGAGGCTGGACAAGCGGCACTGCCAGCCGCCTAGAAGTAGGTCAAGATCGACAACCGGCAAATTGGCCCGACCTGTGCTGCGCAGGGCATCCCCTTGATCCCTACTGGCGCGGGAGACTTCGGCAGCGAAGGTTCTTCTAGAGATCTCCCGAGCTTTGGCCACGCAGACCGAAGCGTCCGTGATGCACGAAGATCGCTCCAGGATCTCTGTTGATAGCTCGCACGCATATGGCCCGGGCCGTCCCTCGGCGCCGGGCTATTCGCTCTTCTTGGGATGGTAGTGGGGGGTGGCTGACAGTCCTGGCTGCGTCTTCCACCCGTATCCTTGCCGACCAGTATGTCGCCATCGGCTGAGCATGCCCTATTGGTGCAAAGTAGTTGCGCTTTGTTCCGAGCCACCCTCAGAAGAAGGGGAGCGCTTTCTTGTGATTGTCAAGTTCCGTTGGCACAGTGATTTCACTGTTGACTGACTGACTCGGGGTGTTAGCGCGAAACTTGTTCCGCAAACACGAAGGTAGTGTCCGTGCCTGAAGGGAAGCAGCAAACCGGGCTTTTCCTCTGGAGTCCAGCCTACCAGCAAGGAACGTCGCGAACTGCATCGTAGCACAGCTCGATCGCATGGTTAAACTATTCATTAAAACACACCCTGGAGGCCCTTCTAAACACGCTTGGGTAGCTGGGGTCGAGGGCCGCTTCCCAGTCGGCTTTCAGGTATCCAGGTACCCAACTTAGACTAGTTGCTGAGTACCCTGGCCCCAAAAAAGGTTAGCCTTTCAATTCTGGGTAGCATTGTAAATATCCCAAAAGGTGAAGGGCTATCTACTCCAGCTACTCACAAGTTGAGGCTTCGCAGGTCAAGGCGGTCTATGGCATGGATTGAACGGCTTTGAACTTGCAGCGTTGACACACGCAAGCACCCGGAAGTAGGTGGCGCCCTACTGACCGACTTGTCCCTTCAGGGGGACCTGACAACTAAATATTCCTAAACCCTATAAATAAGTATCCCTGAACTGTACAAGGAAACGTCACCAAATCACACGTGAGTAGTACTGTATAAGGAAACTTACCTAAATCCTTTCAAGCCCTTTGTGAGCGGTTGCGGGACGACTCCTGGAAGTGCCCCGCTCTCCACCCGGTGCTGTTGCCGGGAGTGATGAACGAAAAGTTTAGGGTTTGTCTAGGGTTTAGGGTTTCTAGGGTTTCTATAGGGTTTCTAGGGTTTCTGTAGGGTTTCTAGGGTTTATAGGGTTTAGGGCGTTACAGGAGCAAGTGTTACACCGCTTCCTCAACTTTATGAGCCTGGCTTGACCTCACATATTCTCAAACCACAAGCTGAAATTGTCGGAATGCCTGATTGTGGAAACCCGAAGCCCGAAACCCTAAACCTCCAACACCTGCCTGCATGGGCGATTATTCCCTATAATCCCTCAAAAGACCCGTATGGGGTTGGTTAGGGGGACGATAAGGCCTAATTCGGCCAGGAATCAGAGCCGCGCCAACGCGCCGCGCCAGCTGCGAGCTGCGTCTAAAGCCACATTGGCAGCCACGGTGCTGGTGGCCTAGGAGCCAGGTTGTTGTCCTAAAACGCGAAATCCTAAACCCGGGTTTTGAGGGTCCAGGTTGAGGGCTTCGGACTCAGGATGCCATGGTCGTAGGTTCGTACCGAAGGCATCCCATTCTGCTTGATGATGGAGAACTCGCAGACTCTTCTCTAGGCGCTTGGTTTCTGTTCTTGAGCGCACGATCCCTGTAATCCTTGGGTAGTTCTTTAGGTTGGGGTTTGTGGTGGCTGGACGAAACTGAAAGCAAGGACACCCCGAAATAAAGAGCCATGTGAGAGAACAAGCCAGGTCGGGGAGGAAGGGCAGCGCCCGAAGTCTTCCTGAATGAGGTAGAACATCTTGGGCATCCGTTTGGCGCATGTGGGCCCCAGAACATTTGACGCAAGACCTCGACCTGAATCCCTTCTCCATCCCTACTATGAAACCAGACTCAGTACATAGTCGAGCCAGTCACCAGTCCATCTCGCCCCAAACTTTCCACGGTGTGCAGGGCGACCTGCATGGCACAGAATCACAGAATATTCGAAGGTCTGGAATCCTTGCGTGTCCTAGCTGTAAGCTCAGTAGATACAGTAATGATTTACTTCCAAGCAAAGGCTCAACAAGCTTGCCTCTCCATCCCGGCCCCCCGCCAAGAAGCCCTGAACTGCAGATTCGGACTGTTGCAGGTTGGTGTCGGGCGTCTGTACACTTGAGTCTGGAAGGACCCTAACTCGTGCACAGGCACTGCAAGCCCGGCGCTGTCATTCGAGCAGGGGCCCATCTGTACAGACACTCACATAATGAACATACAACAACAAGAACAAATTAACATATGCAGAAGTGAGTAAGTGAGTTAATGGATAAAGGAACATATACATGTTTTTGTATACACCTAGGGATGCACCCCCATAATTTGACTCAACCAAGAAGAGCCGGCGAGTGCCAGGTGGACGTGAAAGCTGGGCAGCATGACCAGTATGGCAACATCCCTAAACCCGTTTGGCAAACTCTTTTTTACGGCTAGGACGGCTAGGACTGCTGCACTGCCTGCCTGGGACGAAACCATACCATTCAAGAGCGGGCAACACGGACTCTGCCGCGCTGACCACGCAGGAAGTGTGTCAAGGAAAGCTCAAAACCCTAAACCCCAAACCCGAAACCCCAAACCCTAAATGCCTGGCTGACATGTTCTCCATCGCAGAAATAGGCTTTGCTGACCCGAAGAGTCAAAAGGACGTTCACAATTCAGGCGACACACTCGTGTAAGGTGCTTTGGAGATGGTTGGCATTCAGAAGCCTTTTCTGAAGCCGAAGAAGAGCGGCTCCGACTTCACGGCGTCGCCCCCGACACGCTGCCAGAAGGCTTCCAGTGGCCGATCTGGCCTGAGGCAATGAAGGCGGGGTGAAGTGGCGTCTTGCTGGCAAACTCTTTTTGAGCACCAGCCTCCAGCAACAGCTGCTCTATCGCAAGACTCTCTTCATCCTGTTTGCCTGACACCAATCCAAGTGGGGTGTCGCCCCCGCAAAGTTTATCCTTGTCGGCATTGAAGTCCAGCAGAAGTCGAACGATGTCTGGATGGCCCTTCAGGCACGCAATGCCAAGAGGTGTAACACCTCGAAAGACTTTCTCCCTGTTTATACCGGCCTCCAAGAGCACACGTGCCATCGGAACGTAGCCCCGGGTACATGCCTCGTGCAGAAGGGTGCTGCCCGTGCCTTCGAGGAACTTACTGTTCGAAGAACAGCTCGTCTTTACAAGCAGGCGCAGGATCTCTTCGTCAACACGGTTCTGGAAGACCGCTTCAGCAAAAGGACAGAAGGCCCCCCAGATTTCAACGCAATTGGCACCCGCCTCCAGCAACAAGCGCGCAATGTTCAAGTGGCCCTTGCCGCATGCGGTCTGAAGGGGCTGGGCGCCAGGGCCAAAGGAGCCATAGACTCTGGGTTCCTGCGGACGTTGCAGAATCTGCTCCATTTGCAACTCATCGCCTTTAAAGGCGACATTCATGAGCTCCCTCTCTTGCGCCTGTGAAGTCTGAATGAAGGGTAGCAACACAAGCTGGATGTCTGCTGGTGCATCCAGCGTCTCATCCTCCTCCATGCTTCGGCCCTCACAAAAGAGCCGCTGTCGGAATCGAGGTGTCCCTAAGAGCTTGTGCAGGTGACGCTTCAAGGATCGGACATCTGGGACCTCTAACTCCTCTATGCCCAAAGCTGCCACCTCACTCCCCGACACGGCGCAAACGCGCAGCATGCTTTGCTCCGGCTCTGGAGTTTACAAGATGCTTGCCAGCTGCCAGCCCAAAAGCAGAGATGTGAAAAAACCCTGTGGTGACTTAGCGGCTCAGCGCCTCATTGTTGCGAGCTTGCTTGTGCTCATGATCCAGCTTCTACAGTCCGACTTCGAATGCATAATAAAGTCACCAAACCATGCAAAACCAACCCCGAACTACCCCCCCCCCAACAAACCACATAAGTGATATTCAAATTAACAACATGCGTTTCTAATGATAACACTGAGAACTCAGAATGCGCAGTATCAGTTTCCAAATGCTCACATCATCATGCAAAAGAAAATGTCTGTATCTATATCTATAAATATAAATAAATAAATATACATATATATATATATATATATCGATAGTTAGATAGATAGATAGATAGATAGACAGATAATTAAAAGAAGCCCAACTTAAACCATACTGCCCCGCCTGCCAGCGCTTCCGACGCGCTGCCGAGGCGGCGGCGCCACACGCCACAACGTCGGCGCGGATGTGCCAGGTGTGGAAGCGACGGAGGAGACTGCGAGGAAGGTTTAGGATTCTAGGGTTTAGGGTTATAGGGTTTTATGTAGGGTTTATGTAGAGCTTATAGGGTTTATGGGGTTGAAGGGTTCTCGATTTGGGCAAGATCGTGTGGGAGTGTACTGCAATGCGGGAAGTTGCAAGGCTCAAGAGGGCTTCTATGAGTGGTGCCCCACCTGAGGGGAGGGATCCGTTACGGGAGGTTTTCGGGCTCATATGTCTACACCAAGCTCTTTAACTGGGTCCCGTGAAAATAATTCTGGGGTGACATTTGCAAAATTTGGCTGGGCCAGAAGTCCAAAATCTTACAGCAGATTGCTTAAGAGTTCCGTTGCAGAGAAGTTTTTTCATGCGAGCTGGCCAGAAACAGCGCCAGAAGCTTCGGCTTGGGCCTTTAGAGAAGCAGATCTCGTTTGAGATTGCTGCAGCTCCAGTCAAAACCCCCTTAAGCTTAAGACTTCAGCCTTCAGATGCTGGAAATCTGGAAGTCGCCGGAGATCTCAAAGCAGCGGCTTCCTTACTTAAATCCTTATCCGCCGGGGCTCGAAAACAAATCCGGAAAGGGTACCCGTTAGGGGCCTCCGCAGTGACAATAAGAAAGGCCGGGGTGGCAATAACAATCCCGGAGCCCGGGGGCCGCGGGAAGCCTCATTCTAGCCTTCAGGTAGGCTTCCTCAGACCCCCAGACCCCCAGAGACACTTAATTACCACCCCTCTGTTAATAATTATAACAGTAGCGTAAAAACACTCATACAGTTCTTTTTCCTATCTGATGATGTGGGTGCTTGGGGGCCTCAGCGCGCGCGGCCAGACCCCGGCGGGAATGGCGCGAGTGACCGTGCGGATGTCGAGCTCCTTGGGGCGAAGGTGAGGAGTTGCTCAAGAAGTTGGGGTTTAGGGTTTAGGATTTAGGGCTTAGGGTTAGGGTTTAGGGTTCATATACCTTAGTAGGGATGCTAACAGCCTAGGGTATGTATCCCTATCTATGATGCGTCCGGTTTGGCTTTAGGTCCGGCTCGACTTCGTCATGCTGATGCGAGCCCCAGTTCCTAGCTAAGGCACTCACGTATGATGTTGTTCTACAGCCTATCTACGAGCAGTCAGGAGGAACTCGAGCCGACAGCACCGAAAGCTTGTTGCACCACCCCCCCTAGGAGATCTTTCCAGCCTATCGAACCCGCTCCCCCAAGCCCTCCAAAAAATCTCACCCTGAATCTCCGATACCTCTAGAAGCCCCGCAAAAAGCTTCAAGCCCTAAACCTTACAAACTCTAGACTCCCTACAAAAACCTAAATAACCAAGAAGACCTTAAACAACCCAAACAATTACCCAAACAAAAACCTAAAACCCTCAACCCTAAACTCTAGACGACCCGTCTGCGTAAACAACTCCAGGAAGCTGCGCCAGCATCGAGGAGCCGGGAGATGGCCAGGGCCCCGCTTCGCCAAAGCATGCATTTTAGGGTTTAGTTTAGGGTTTGCAGTTTGGCTTCGCTGATATTTAGGGTTTCTACACAGGGTGTGTAGTTGTGTTTAGGATTTGTGGGGTTTCTATAGAGTTTGTTCCATTTAGGGTTGAGGGTTTGTAGTGTGCTTAGGGATTAGGGTTTGTAGGGTTTAACTGGGGTGTACAGGGTTCAAGGGCCAGACATTGTTGCTGTGCTTCAGTCAAACGTCTGGGGCTGTGGCTTTCGGGGCACGGTTTTGGCGCCGAGTTTATGGGTAGCATGTAAAGCCGCACGTCTTTAAACATCGAGCGTTGAACGAAAACTCGACAACTGCCGCCGCGGAATCGGTGTCTGAGGCAAATAGCCACAATCCCCCAATCCCCAACGAAACCGAAAGCCGGAACCCTAAGCCCCGGCGCCGACAAAGAGAGAGAGAGAGAGAGAGTCGAGAGTTTGAGGGCATACGGGGTCCAAAAAGGTCGCGGGGGCGGAGAAGCCAGGAACCAGTGCAGTCCCGTGGCAAAAACCTGCCTCAACCCGCCCCCCCGCCCCCTCCCCGCCAGAATGTGACGATTTTGTAGGGAACGTTGGGTGAGGCTACCAGCCAAGTCTGAAATGCAGCTCCGTGCCATCTTTTTTTCATGCAGAAGCCAGCCTTAGGCGAGACATGATCAGGTTGGGTGTGCGGGGGTGGGGGAGAAGCTACCTGTGATCGACAGGCGGCGATGGCTGTCCTGCTCCTTAACCACGTCGGTCGTCAGGTCTGTGTTCACAAGACTGTATATGCAGTGCTCCCCATAATGAGTCGGCAACACCCCAAGTAAACGGAATTCCATTGCTTAAAGCTTCGATCCCGTAGTACCCCTTATTCTAGACAAACCCAACTGCGTTTTAAGGGTGGCCTTGTTTTTGCTAGCTGCCAAAAGGCGCCCAGCATGGGTCCTCAGAGACAGCATGTCCGCCAAACTGTCGCAGGGGCTACGTGGTGACAGTGTGGCCAGCAACATGGATGGGCATGGTTTTTGCTGTTTCAAGCTTATATGCTTTAGCATCTTTGCCCTCGTGAAGCTGGCGTGGCCTGATTTCAGGCAAGCCCATGCAGCCGATAAAAGTCGGGGGAGGGTAGCTAGCAAAAGAATTCACGCCGCAACGGCTGCCCTTCTGGCACCGTGCTGGAGCTACATGCCCAGTGTCTGCATGCTCATGCTTCTGTAAGCACAAGAGCCTGCGTGTGGCAATTGGGAATAGCAAAACCGATGTGTGATGCCTTCGGGGCAGCTACGAGTCCACGAGCTACAAGGACGATTGTGACATTCTATAAGGTATAAGTACAAGGTATACAAATTGAATTATACAAGGTGAGTCAGTAGGGCGGGTACAGTTCTCTTCGATGCACTCTGAAGAAGCAGCTGCGTCTTGAAGTTCGCAGGGCCACCCGACAAGGCTTTGAGAGCCACAACCCGCACCCATCAAGCCTTGCGAACCCCTTCCCCCCTACTACCCATGGTTACTGGGAATCTCAAGAAAGGTTTAGAAAAAAAACTACGAACATGTAACAGGAAAAACGCACACACAAATAAAAACACAAAAGAGAGGGAACCAGCAACCAGGAGAACACAAACGACAACAACCAAAACAATGATAAACAATAATGCAGAATGCAGAACATCTGGCCTCAGCCTCGGGACGTTTTGTTATTATGTTGTTTGTTCTTCAGGCGTTCCCCCCCCCCGTGTATTGTCCTCAAGAAAGACACGAAAAAAACTTAGATCAAACAAAACCACACAAGAAAGAAATAAAGAAAAAACGGAGGAAAGAAAAAACAAAAAACTAAAGAAAGCAAACAAAACATAGCAAAAGCTTCTTAACTGCTTAGCTTTCTGCTTTCGTTTTTTCATCTTTTCCAGGATTTCCAGAGTTCACAGGGTTTCCATTGCCTTAACAAGAGTCATCTACTTCCCAAGCCAACTACCCTAAACCCTAAACCCTAAACCCTAAACCCTAAGCCCTAAACCCTAAACCCTAAACCCTTTAGAGCTTGGGAGGCGACGGGTGAAGCGACTATTTCAGGCTCTTGGGCTGGAGAAAGCAACGGTCACAGACGCGGACTTCTCGGAGGATGCCGACCTCCGCAACGGTTTAGGGTTTAGGGTTTAGGGTTTAGGGTTTAGGGTTTAGGGTTTAGGGTTTAGGGTTTAGGGTTTAGGGTTTAGGGTTCAGGGTTCAGGGTTCAGGGTAGTACGGGTTCTCTTTGCTACCCCTATAAGCCCTGAAGCCTAAAGCCATCTAAAACCCTAAGCCCCCCCCCCCTCTACCTCAAGCAATTGAAACCACCAAGGGCTCGGCTCCTAAATTCACAGAGTCCTGGGATTTTGAGTACTTGCCGTAATTGAGATTCATGCACCATAAGGAAGAACGTGTTGTTTTCCTAAGCAAAAAGAAAAATTTAAAACCAAGAATGGCAAAATACAAAGAAGGCGCAACGCAAGCGCCGAAGCCCCTGAACCCTTCACTCGGACGCAAAGCCCTGAGCCTGAGAGCATGAAGTCCCCCAAACATCCCGCCACGGACCCCGGAGCCCAACTTCCCGTAGGGTTTCGGGCTTAGGGCTTGGGGTTTCGGGTTGAGGGTTTAGGGTTTAGGATTGAAGGTTTAGGGTTTCGGGTTTAGGGGTTCCTGATCCTGACACGCCTGAGGCAGGGCTTGCTTGTGCTCCCCGCAGCCAAGACAAACCACCGCCCCACAAGAGTGACCTGGCTTGAGAGAGGGTTGAGGGTTTAGAATGTAGGGTTTATAGGGTGAGGCTTGAGGGACTTTCTGAGTTTAGGGCTTCTACAGTTAAGGGGTATAAGGAGGGACCCTGAGTCCCTACATAGCTAAGTTGCCCCTAAATAACCCCCTAAGGTCCCTTGTAAGAGTTGCTCCTTGAGTTCCTTGATACATGCTTGGTAGCCCAGCATAATAAGGGCACCCTTTTTGGGGTTAGGGAACCTTGAGCCCAAG